TACATGTGCACATTGTTCATATTTGGTTGCCACTATTTTACGAAACCGTCATAATCCGCTGAAATAGGGCATTAAAGCTTGAAGAATTGTCTTGAAATCGAAAGCTGTACCATTCCATAAAGTGAATTTGTCCGTCGGTGCACCCATCATTCACCGTTTACTTTCTGGTGTCCAGCCAATGCTATAAATAAGATATTTAACTCTATTCATCGCGCACAAATTTATTTAAATACTAATTTAAAATCCTACAAATTTTCAGGAATTCGGGTCATCATTTTATTACGCAACAAGTCATTCCTGGAGATGCATGTGCAGTATGTCACCAGAATGTTCCAGGTGTTGTAATACGTACAGGTTTGATTTTGCACTTTTCTTTTTGACTTGCTATCAGCACTTCATTGAAAAATTTCAACTCTTCAAGTCTAACATTTTTTTCCAAAACTATGAAAAACTTACAGGTAAAAAAGACCTTTTTTTTCAGTTCACCGATGCTTGGGATGTGGTATGGTTTGTCATGAAAAATGTTCAGTTCTAGTATCTTCTGCTTGTCCTAATACGGAGGAAAAACGATTAGTGGTAACAGCCAAATGTGATCTTCCATCAGTGTCAAGACGATCTGCAACTTATACAGGTTGATTTTTTCTGTCAAAATTATTTAGGCTCACCAGTTATGATGTAATTTTTGCAGTATCCATGTTTACTTTAAAATCAATAAATCAATAAATTAATTGATTTATTGCTATGATGAAAGGCCTTTTTTCTTTAAGAAAACATTTTTTTTTCAAGAAGAGAATCTATAAGGTCACTAACATCACATCTGAGCAAAACGTTTGCTATATATTTTTCTCCTTTTCATTTTTTTTGAAAATTTTAATTTTAGTAGATACAAGAACGCTAACAATAAGTGCAAATTATCCTCATGCTGGTGCTACGTATAGTGGATTTTTAATGAAAAAAGGTGCTACGTTTAAGATGTGGAAACCTCGTTGGTTCGTTCTTGACTCAAATAGACATCAGGTTCTTTTTTTTTTTTGAATCTATAGACTTTTTAAATTTTCAACTTTTTAAACTATTTATCTGGGTTTCCTATCTTTTTTTTCTATTCATAATGTTTTTAGTTGAGATATTATGAGAATGAAACGGACATAAATTGTCGTGGTGTTATTGATTTGGCTGACGTTAAATCTGTGGAAATAGCATCTAGTCATGCTCTAAGGAAGCCACTTCTGGAGGTATTGGATTTATTTATAAATGATTTCATTGATTCATAAAATTTCAGGATGCTAGCTTTGTTTTGTAATCCGTAATAATTTGATGCTAGCAATTTAAAATGTTTCCAGTCTCAACAATGTTTGGTAGTAATTTAACAAGCTATTCTGTTAATATTTCATTAACATTTTCTGTAAATTTGTATAAATTGTTCAGGTTCGTACCTCTAGACGTGTATATTCATTACTTGCTGATACGAAAGTTGACGCCGACTTATGGTTAGAAAAGATTTTGGCTGCTCTGCATGATTAACGATTACTAGATGAGTATGTTTGCTTCTGCATTTACATTGCTAAAATTAATTTTTATATATTTCATTCATATTAAGGAACAGTATGCTTTATCTATGCTGTTAGTTCATTCATTCACTATAGCATCTTTAGTATAGGTAGCGCAATTTCAACGTTTAATATTGTAAACATCATGCTGTGTACAAGTTTGATGTAAATATTGGATGATATAAGTTGTAAAGTCATTTTGCTTATGCGTTTGTTGGTTTATATGCTGATAATTTACATCAGTTAATTTTATCACGCCATGTTGCTAATTTTTAGCTTCTGGAATATATATATATATATATATATATATTTGGAACTAAATTTTAAAGTATATTAACTAAGCATTTGTTTGTTAACTGTCAACAGTGTGTTGTGCCACTTTTTTTTCCTTTTTCTTGTTTTTATTTTAATTTTAATTTACTTTTTAGATTGAGAAATCTACAAAAAAAAAAAAAAAAAAAGAAAAAAAAAAAGAAAAGATAAAACGAAAAAAATGGGGTGAAATGTATTCTATTACTATTAGTATTTGCATTAATGGGTATGGAAGCATTTGTTTTTTTTTTTTTTTTATATATATATATGTTCTTTCTTTAATTTTTTTATTTTTTTTCTATAATTTTCTTTTAGTTAGACAATTCAAAGTTTGTAATCTTGTCATTATCACCTTGCCCTTTTTGTTGTTTTTTTTTTTTTTTTTTCATATCTGATTTCATTTTCCTTTTTACTTTCTTTTTTTGGATTTAAATTGTTATTTTCAAGAGGTTTTAGAAATATTTAGAAAGCGTTTTTTCTTTTTTGTTTGTCTAGTTTGCATATAGTTTAATGATTAAGAAACGTTTTCTGTAATTAAATAAGAAACTCTATCTCAGTCAAATATGATAAATAATCAAATGTGGGATAATGTGATAGGTAGGATTATTCTATTAATCAGTTAAATGATAGTGTCAATAATATAATAATAGTTTTGTGCTAAAACATGAAATAGTTTAATAATAATTAAATAAGAATGTATAGTTGAACATTTTCTTTCTTTCCTTTTTTTTTATTTTGTAAATTGCATTCACTGTGTTTTCTCAGTTTTGGCAGATCTTTTAATGCTAGATCTTTTAAGAACGAACTGCGTTATATTGAAGTTCAGTTCAGTGTTTGATGTTTCTGTGCATATATATTAACAACAATTGAATTCTGCTCCATGCATTTATCGCAATAAATGTGAGCAATATTTCACATTTAAGAATGCAAGAAAAAGAAATACACATGTTTTGTTGTTTCAGTGTTTTTAATATATAATATATTTGTGTTTAAGATTCTAATTGTATATTAAGTTTTATAGCATTATTAAATGAAATGGAGGAAAGAAAAAAAATGAACTTAATTTTTTTTGATTTTCAGTAATGGAAGAAATTTTCACATTGATGAATTTTGGCAAGTAATTAATTTGCTCATTATTAAAATGATTGTTGAAAAAAATGAAAAGCGCATTTAATGAGTAGGGAAACGATTATTATTTATTGCAAAGTTAATTTGTCTATTGAGAGGTAATAGTAATGAATGAATTTCCTAAAGCTATTCATTTATCATAAGAGAGAGAGGGAGGAAAAGGTGAGGAGAGTAATGCATTAATGAATTGCTACTAGCAATGGAATATTACTAGATGAAATAATGAATAAAGTTTAAGTATAAATGATGTTGTAATAAATGAATTGTTTTTCAGATAGAAATACAATAATTTCATTATATTGAGTAATTTCATATATTGATTTAATTTTATTGTATTGAGCAGTGCTTTACTGATTGCGTATGAGATCAAAAAAGAAGGGGCGCTTACATATAATGGTATTTGATATGCATATAGCTGAGAAAATCGATTTTCAAGTTTGAAATATTTTACAATGGAAGATTTTTTTTTCTTTTTTTTGCAGAACAGTTTCTATTGCTAAAGAGTCTCATTACATTCAAATGGTAAGAATAACTGTTCAAAAGATTTAAATAATAACTAATGTAAATAAAATCAAAAATGAAAATTATTGTTTTGTTACTAGTCAATTTAATAAGTAATTTACTAAAATAGTCATTGAATGTATCAAAATAGTTTTATTACATTTAAATAAGATATATATTATTAGCAATAATATGTGGGCAAATTAATGGATATGAGTGAAATGAAATCTTAGATTTAATTGATAATTATGGAATAATTTTCACAATGTTGCATTATTTAGCGACAAATTGATACGATAGATTAATCAATATGATAATTGATCATTATAGAATAGTATTAGCTGTAAATGAACAAAATGGATAATATTAAATCGGCGAAAAGTAATTTTCAAAATCAAAAAAAGGAAAAGAAACGAAGCAAAATTGCATCATTTTATTATTTATATGCTTAATATGCCATTTTGCCATTAATTGTGCTTTTTTACACTTTTAAAATCAATTAATCTTTTATTTAATTGACAACAGAACCTCTTACTGTGCATCAATTACTTTAAATGAATTAATCATTGAAATCTGGATTTGTCATTTTTAATTTTATTTAATTTATTTGTTTTTTTTTTTGTGAATATATAAAGGAAATATGTGGTCCATTGATACATTTGCCATTTACTTATTGAATTATTTGCTTATAAGAGTGGTTTTACACTTGTATCATTACAGTTACAAATTAATTCATCGTTTTCATTATTCAAATGTGTAATAGCTTGGTACGTGATCATTGTTCTATTTTGTGTTATTTTTGTAATGTTTCATCTTTTCATTTTGTAAATTTATCTGAACTCATTATAATTCTTTTTAGATATGCATTTACAATAACGACACCATATGATTTTAGGAATTTAATGGCAATATTTATTGCGATTATTATTGGAAATTAAAAAAAAAATCCATTTATAAATTCTTTCTTTTTGTTTTTTTCTCATGCAAGTATTTAAAATTTTTTTCTATTTGATAAAATTATGAATTATTTTTTCGTAACACTGATATGAAATAATTTCTGATTATATTGTAGTTTGATAAGTTGAAATTCACTTTTTTCTGCAAAGCCAATGAAAGAAAAAATAGGGATTTGTTTACAATAATTAATTTACATATAATAGATATTTGTTAGGAATGATTTAAAACTTTAAGAAAGAAATGTCTAAAAATTCTTTTAAAATTTGTCATCATCTTTTGGATTATTTCTCAAATGATAATATATAGCATAATTTTGAAAGACAAAAAAATATCTAGCTTAAAAATTTGAAGTTATTCAATATGTGACAAAAAAATCGAAGTTTTTTTTCGAATTTTAAATCAAATTACAGCCATTTATGTGAACATCAGCAATACCATTGCCATTAAAAATTGAAATAGATATTCCCGAATCGATAAACACCCAATTTCATTACAAAAAAAATAATGCAATTATTGGATAACTAATTTTGTTCAATAGATGGAAGTGATTGAAACCTACGAACCAACTATATTTGCTCCAAGCTGAAATTAAAATCTTTCAATTTTAAAATTCAATTAATTTTTGCAAAGAAGGAAAAAAAAATATTGTTACTTAGTATGAAAGTAAATTTTACAGTTTTGAGATTTATTTGTATATTCAAACAGAATTTAATTTTGTTTTATTAAACTAGTCAAAAAACTAAAATTTACAAAATCATTCTCCTTTTTTCTTCTAACTTTTAAGATACAAATTTTTTTAATTAAAGTTAAAACCGATTCAAAATTTTCCAACTGTTCGATATTTTTGGTGAGTTTGGCTAAATTCTGATTGTATGCAGCTTGATGAAATGTCACACGCTCTTCAAAATCATACTGGCAAAGAATTTTGTTTTCGCATAAATAAAATTTATCACCAATACAAAATCTAAAAAATGCAATATTTAAAAAAATTTATTAACATACGAATAATAAAGTAACTGTTAGAAATTTTTTTTTTTTTACTTTTGTTTTATTTTTTTTAATTTACAAAAAAGAGAAAAAAAGAAAACAAACTATATTATTTTCATTTATCTATAATCATTTTGTAATCCAGAATGAATAAATTTCAAAATCTATACTTTTTTCTTTGCAAAATATACAAATTGAAATTTAAAAAAGGTTACCGTTGATTACAAACTTGACATGCAAAGCACCGTAAATGATAAACATTATCTTTGGCACGCATAACAAGTTCAAATGCCGGAATATTTTTATCACATGCAGCACAAGTACCCGTTAAGCCAAATAATCGCAAATAATCACGAGCACATAAGATCATACTTTGTTTATAGTATAATTTTGAGCCAAGTTCACCTAATCGACAAAGACAACAAACGCACTGAAATCATATTATATCAATTTTATAATCTGATTTCTTTTTTATTTTCTCTTCTTCCTATTACTCTCTCTTTCCTTCATTCTTTCCTTCCTTATCAACCTCTCTCTCCTTTTTTCTCTTCTTTTTTTATTTTGCATTCATTTGAAATATAACAAAAACTTCAAGCAATATTTTTCAAATATTTATTGAAATAATTGGTTAGAAACAAAAAAAAGTTGTCGAAATTTCCGTTTTTTGTCCCAAATTTTTAAAGTTAAATTTGAAAGAAAAATGCAAAAAAAAAAAAAAAAAAAGAAAAAGGAAGAGAGAACGAAAGAAATAGGAAAGATAAAAAATATGCAATTATATTAAAGTTTAACTTCCCTTTTCTTTCAATTAGTAAAAGTAGGATGAGTTGAGCGCTAATTTACCTTCAGACAATCTTCATGCCAAAATTTGCCAACTGCTTGTAGCATATATCGATCACGAATTTGAACAGAGCAACCAGCACAAATTGAATTCATCGAATTATAAGTTTGTTTGCATATCTGAAAAAAAAGGACATTATTAAAAATTCTAGAACTTTAATTCTTATTTTTTCTTATTACAAATAAATTATCATTTTAACATAACATTTGTAACATGTAGCGAAACATATATGATAAAATGTTAGAACTGCTAATATCATTATTAAATATTATACACAGAAGTGATAAAAATATTTTAAATTGTTTAACATCAAAATGTTCAATAAAATTATTAGGTCAAAATTATAATGAAAAAAAAAAAAAAAAAAACGAGAAGAAATTTTCATTTGTTCATACCATTATGTCATTTTTGAAATTTTTCAAATTAATTAATAACAAATTTCGCAAAAATTTAAACAATTTAAGGCTTTAAAATTTTTCTTTTCAAACTAGATAAATTTTAAAATGGCAAAATTTTATATTTATTTTATAAAATTATAAAATATTATCAAAAAATTGTTTTACTAACATTATCAAATATTGAATTTTAAATATTTTAGCTTAGCCTAAATCGACTGGTGACCTGAACCTGATAATAATAACAATGCTTTTATGTAATTTCTGCTCGCAATATTCCATACTTCTTGAATAATTAATCATCGTTTCACTTTTTTCACTCTCTTCTCACTTCTTTCATTTTATTTTTTACATTTATTATTGCATTTCATTTATTCATTTTCCCACCTTCTATTCCGCTTTTCCAGAGTCATTGAAGTAATTAATAGACATTGAGCAAAGATTGGTGAAATAATTTTGTCAAATATTAATTGTATTACATATGTCTGAAGTAGTTGAGTGTGTATGCATATATATATATATATATATATATATATATATATATATATATATATATATATATATATATATATATATATATATATATATATATATATATATATATATATATTTGTTTATTTACATATTCATGTTTCATTTTTGGTAATAAAAAATACTGGAAAAAAAGGTAAATAATTTGTATTTGTAAATAAATTATTGACTGCGTATACAATTATATATGTAAATAAATGGATTGCAAAATAGATAATAAATTGCAAAAATATAGCTGTAAAACAAAAATGAATTTAACACTGAAAATAATACATGTGCAAAATTAAGCTATAAAGCGAAAATTAAGTTAATTATTTAAATTATAACTTCTGATTAAATATTAATAGATGTCTACAACAACAACAATAATAATAATAAATAGTGACAATAGCAATAACAATAATAATAATAGTAGTAGCAATAATAAAATGATAATAGTAATAATAATAATGACAATGATAATGAATAATAAATACTGATAATAATAGCAGTAATAATAACTTCCTGTCATAAATATATGCCAAAATAATGGCAGTGTAGCAACAATATATGTTTAAAAATTCAAAACGGATTATAGCAATGATTTGAATAATCAGTGGTTGGTAATGAAGCTTCTTAATCTGTAAATTATATGCAAATTATTATTTTCAAAGGTTTTAATGCAAATACCAATCATATCTGAAATATCTGCGGGTTTCTAATATGAAGAAGCCAATATTCTGTAATATACTCTTAAATATTTCAACTATTTAACATAAAATGGAATTTAACTTGGCATTGAAAATAATAATAATAAACAGCAATTGATTATTGTGATCTTGTTTCTAAATTATACATTATTGAATTGTTATCAGCGAAAATTAATCATTGAGAACGATAATGTTAATAGACAGACATAATTTAATAATTATAATTTTATCATCATAATTAATTTCAGATATAAAGAATTCACGTTCATTCAAGCTTAAAATCACTTAAATTCATTTTAACTTGAGTTTAACAAAGTAAAATGGATTTAATATTTAAGTAATTCTTCCTTCTCTTCTTTACTTTTAAATAGAAATAATTGAAAGTTTTTGTGCTAAATTTACAATGCATTAATATAATTGTCAAAAATGTTTTAAGTGATATTTGCGCATAATATTAAACGATACATTAAAATAATGCTTAAAAAGTGAAAACTAAAGGTTTAGAATGATTGAAATAGAAAAAAAAATAATATAATACAATTAAATAAATTTGAATATAACTTGTCTTATATCATTGCTTATCTATCATGCATGTTAATGCCTCATTAAGTATCAGTCAAGCATTTAAGTACTTCTTAAACAACTCAATAAGTATTAGTTATACATGGAAACATAACTTATATCACACGCTTTTTGATAATTTGTTAAGCACATTAGTTTGATTTTGTGCAAAAAAATACTTACTGAAAAATCTTGTTATTAAGGGCGAGAGAAAAAAAGGAAAAAAAATTGTAATGGAAAAAGAAAAATGAACAAATTGAGGTAGTTAATTGAATTTTTCAAGTTTTAAAAAATAATTGAATTTTACCTTATCGTTGTGTAAAACTGGCAACACCTGGGATTTTGCTCTAGAAAACTTTTCTTTTTAAAAAATTAAGAAATGAAGCGAAAAAAAGTTGAGAAAATATTATTAAATGAAAAAGAGATTATAGAAGTTAAAGTTATCAAATATTTTAATTAAAATATAATTTATGGAAATAAGCATTGTAAAAAGTTATGAAGCTCATATGCTACATTACAAAATTATTGCCAAGAAATTTTCTTTTTTATTTTTAAAAGAAGTTGGAGGAGGAAGACGTGGGTGAAGGGAGGAAAAGAGGGAAAAAGAGAGGAAAGATTTTCAACTAAATGAATGGATGGATTAGCTGGTTAAACATTTTGGCAAATTGTACTTTATCATTAATCCTTTTCGACTGAAAATGTAATTGACTGATTGATTGATTGTTTGACTGATCAACACGAAGGAATGCAGGAATGAGATGACAAAGAAGGAAGTGCAAAAATTCAATCTTGAAAAAAAGGTAAATAAAAAAAAATCAGCAAAAAATTCATTGCTTTCACAAATATTGAATTTCTTAGCAAAATTTTTTTAAAAATGAAGTAGATATTGATATACTCTTTTAATATAATTGCTTAAACTTTTTTTCGTCTTTTTTTTTTTGATTATATTATCGATCTTTTATTCAATTTTATTATACTAACCCTCGGGAGTAATTATTATTGCTAAATGATGCGAAACAAAATTATATTCATTATTTGTTAGCATATTTGATAACTTTTCTAATTCTCTAATATATATGCTATATTTGCGAAAACATTTCAAAATTATGCATATTAAGAGAATATTGATACGAAAAAATTTTATAGCTAATACTGTTACTTAAAATTTTTATTTGAATTTGCAATCCACCAAAATCAGTCAAATGTTTTTGATTTGAATTATGCGAACAAAAAATTTGAATAAATTGGAAGAATTCCAATTATATTAACCATTAATTCTACTTTGCTCTTTACCGTTTTGTTCAAAAGATTTTTTTTTAACCATAAACTTTAACCATGAAATTGAAAGTTTATAACATTAGTCAGAAATAATTCATTAATTTTTACGTTTATTAACTATATGTTAATTTGATGAAAAATAGGAAATACTTATTTAATACTGCAAACAGAACTGAGTTCATATACGATTAACTTAATTAATGTGAATTATTTTTCAGGATACTACAAATTTTGTTTCTTTTTTCTAATCTATCTTTATAATTCAATAGTCCAAATTTTCCACTGATTTCAAAAGCATTCTTATGTCAATTGAAAATATCATTTTACAAAATAAAACAACAGTGAATTTTTCTTTCGAAAAAAAAGAAATATTAACATAATAAAATGTAGTTCAAAAAAAAAGAAAGAAAGGAAAAAGGTGATAAGTTAAAAAGGTACAATAAGTAAAAAAAAAGATGAAAAAGAAAAAGTAAACAATGTCATTTTAAATCAGAAACCAAAAAGCAAAAAAGTAAACACAAGTTAAAATAAAGTAAGTAATTTTAAGCTATTGTTTGAATATTGATGATGTTGAGCAAATGGACGTTACTTAGCAAATTGGATATGGTTGACAATCGAGTTGCCCAAGGAATGAATCGAAGAGTTGAATCTTGGGAAGCGCCGAATAAATTATGGAAAAGGAAAAAGAAATTAATGAGTTTCGTAAATGCGCTCACAGAAATACTTTGCCATGCAAATAATATTTTAGAGAAAAGAGGAGAGAAAAAGGAGAGAAAAAAAAGTTTTTTTCCTGATCAAATGAGGAAAGGAGAAGATGGAGGAAAAGGAAGAGGAGGAAAAAATGAAAAAATGAAGAAGGTAAGTAAGGAAAAGAAGGAAAAAGATTAAGTGAATAAATTTGAATGAATGAATGAAATGAAATTGGAATGGAATAGATTGAACGTTTGAATGCACTTTTACGACTGAAATTTTCATCAACAAATTAATTAAATGCAACTATATGAATTCTAAGTATATATATCATAGAGAAATTGATAGTAAATAATTGTATTAATGATAAATAATAAAAAATAATGGAAATGTTAGATGATAGCAATAATAGTAATAATAATAATAATAATATTATTATTATTATTATTACTATTGTTATTATTAACGACAATAAAAGTAATAGTAATAAATTAATAATGACAATTTTAAGCTTATTAGTAAATATTTATCCTAAAAAACGATGGAGAGAACAAAATTGGAGAATTTTAGATTATACAGTTGTTAAACTTCCCATTATCACTCATCAATTATCACAAAAGTAGCATGACTGTTTTCAATTACAATAAAATAATAACATATAAAAGGTAATTGAGGACTTATCTAAAAAGTTCAGTGGACTTTTGATTTGATTGATACATACAGGAATATGTATATATCAGAAATGAAATGAATCTGTGCCACAGTGCAGATTCAAATATAAAATGAATCTAAATTGATAAAAGAAATAATATAAAAGTTTTATATAATTATTTATTATATATAATAATATATGTAATATTAAAAGAATTAATACATATTACTTTTAGCATTGGGAAGTATTGATTAGTATTTGCTGATTCGACCGTTAGAGATGGAAAAGTTTTGAAATAAAATGAGAGAAAAAGTGATGCATAAATTGGAATTAAATTTAAATTTCATTTTTTTTTTTTTCACTTGTCATGTTGTTACATTTCAATAATCTTCAAATGACATATATATATATATATATATATATATGATGAAAAGGACAATTTATTGATGACCAATTGGACAATTTAAATGACGATTTTTTTTTCTGATTTCCTATATTTTCTCACTGTATAATATTTTATTCGTTTTCTTTTTTCTTTTCTTAATTCTTTTTTCTAAAAAACAAATAAACTCCATGAATGGTAATAGTTATTAATGTATTAAATGCTGTTTATAACGACAAACAAATTTTTTTGTCCATGAAATTTTGAATATTTGTAAAATATAATAAATTTTTATTACAAATTAAAAAAAATAATTGGTATTAAATCGTTTTATTTATAAATATGATTGAAAAAACATCACAATATTATAAATGGAAGAGAAAAAATGTTGAATATATACATATATATGTATTCTAATTTATTCAGTTTAATTTTAATTCCATCCTTGTCAATTAAAGTCTTTTTTTTTCAAAGTTAAACTATATTATTTCGAATTGTTTTTATGATTTATAATTAATTTTTAAAACTTACTAGAAAATTGATCTATTATAAGTTAATGTATCATATTTACTTTATTATCAATACTTGCAAATATAATTTGTTGCAATAAGCGATGATTTTTTTTCCTCTTTCAATGAAGCAATTTATTTAAAATTGAAGTGGCTAAAAAATTTAAATACAATTTTGTCAATTTCATTATCAAAAATTTTGTGACAATAAAAGGAAGCGAAGAGTAGGAGAGGGAGAGAGACAGGGACAGGGGGAGGAGGGGAGAGAGAGAAAAAAGAGAAAGTAATTCACTATCAAAAAAGATTCTCAAATTTTTGCTTCGTAACAATTGCCATGATTTTATTATTAGATTAACATTTTCAATAGGAAAACTTTTCCTTTCTTGAGCTAACAACATTGTTGGCTAAGTTTAAATCAGAAATCATTTATTTATATTATCCAAATCCATTTCCACTTCTTCTCTTTTTACCATTTCATTTCAATTTTTATTTAATTCAAATAGTATTGAATGATAATTTTCATCCTTTCTGCTACAAAGTTTTTTTTTTCTTTCAACTATACATTTTGCACATTCATTTTCTTCTTTAGTTTTTTTTTTTTTTTTTTTTTTTTTTTTTGTTGTTAAATTTGTATTCTTGTATAATTTCGTTCCTAAAGATTTAGTTAATAAATTGTTTTTTTTTTTCTTTTTCAATTGATAGTCAGACATTTGCTTTATGGCAAATTTTAATTATGTTTGATATGTTTGAAAATGATTTCTAAGTTTTGCAAGCTTAATAAAAAAAAGTATTCAGTTGGAATATTCATTTTTTAAAAAAAAAAGCAAAAAAGAAGAGAAAAAAAGTAAGAAAAGATGATTGCACCGGTATGGCACAACAAATTTATTAAAATTTCCCGTATGAATCAACAACTTTTAATCAAAATTGCTTGCTGTAATTCTATTATTACTTGCATTTTTTGCATTATAAGTAAGTGACCATTATTAATAATTAAAAAAAAAAAAACCGGATATTTATAATTAATTTTTACGAAACTTTCTTGTTTTCGTTTTTTTTTAAATTTCATTCAAATATTCATAACTTAGATTAATCAAAATATTATATTTGAATAAATTAATATATTTCTAAAAATTTTCTCTCATTACTTCTTTCATTCTTTCACTCGTTACTTTTTAAAAAAAAATTATGATTGAAAAATAAAATAAATGAATAAATTTTCTGCAAGTTATTTGATTAAATTTTAAATTATTAATGAATTATTTCAAGGTACATGCACAAATAGTTGGTTGTATACAACGGAAGTTTTGAAATATTACGTACATCCAAATGATACAATTGCAAATGGAAGCGAAGATATTTTAGATCAAACTGTTTATTTTAAAAATGCAACGCTTGGCCCATGGCTTTTTTGTTGGCTTGATCGTTCGTTATGTTTTTTCAAATATTTAATTAAACTATTCATTAAAATTTGACTAATAAAATAAAACAAGAAATAAATAAATGACAAAAAGAGCAAAAAAAAAATTTTTGTTTTTTTAAATAACATTTTAATTCAATCATTTCCATCTCATATTAATCATTAAATTATGAATTATTGACATTTTTGAAACAAATGATATTTTATTTTGCACAACACTGTAAGTAATTTAAATTTAATATTCAAAATTTTTCACAAAATATTTAGCTACAACCGATTTTCATTGCACAAAAGTAAATTATTTTACAACAGATGAGCCATATGATGTTACTACATCTGTCGAATGTAAGTTATTTTATTATGCGTGTTAGAGAATAATTTATTACAAAATTAAAATTACACTTAACCAAGAAAATCACACTTAAAATTAAGTTTAAGAAATTGGGTTTTTTCTCTTTTTTGTTTGTTCCCAATTTTTGTAACATCCGAAATTTAAATGAAATATTTAATTTTAGTCTCAGTACATCGTGCATTCATCTTTATGATTTCTGGTGCTTTACTAATTATTTTGGGTTCAATTAATGCATTAATGTGTTTGTTTCAAAAATGGCCATATCATTCACTTATGTATTGTTCCGTATTGCATATTTTCTCAGGTATGAAACAGTTTAACATGATAACAATTATCCATAAATAATTTTTGAAATAAACATTTTTAAAAAGTTCATTTACTAATTTGAAAATCAATTTTTCTTTTTTTTCTTTGAGGGATGGCAAATTTTGCATGCATAATTGTTTATATGGCTGCTGTCTCCAAAGAAGTGGGAAATAAAATTTATGCTGCCTCAAAAATTGATGATCCATTGTTTCATTACTCATATGGTTACTCCTTTATTATGCTTAAAGTAAGTTTTTTTCTTTTTTTAATATTTGGGAACCCCTTTTTTAAATAAATTACAAACTTTTACTCAATGATTTTAGTGTAAAAGTAATAATTCTTTTTTTTTTTCTTTTCTTTCTTACGTTTTTTTCTATTTTTCTTTAGGTTACATTTTTGGGAAATGAATTTGCTGCATTATTTTCATTAGTTGCTTATATGGCTAAACGTGATGAACGTATGTTTAACAAATATCACATAAGGTTTTTTTTCTTGAATTTTTTATAGTTTCATTACTTTAAATTTTACATGTATTTACGACGGAAATTTTTAAAATTTTGATTTTTTAATTTTCTGATTTTAAAAATAAGTTTTTTAACTTGTGAAAATTTTTTTTTAGATCTTTGATAGCTAAAATGGATGAAACACATTTCATGAGAAAATGTCATTGTCGGTATCACATGAGACATTACCGATCAATCATGCACTATCAAAATATCTGAATTTTTCCCTTTCGTTTCACTTTCATAAAAAGAATTTTCGTAATTTTATAATTTAAGTACAACAAATCACAAAGCTGAAAAATGGATTAAGTTTCACGACTAAAATTTCTCAGATAATTAAATCGAAACTTTCCATACTTTCCTTTCATACAAGCACTTCAAAAAAAGAAAAATTATTAGAAAGAGTTGTTTTGTGATAAATCCTAAGTGATAGATTGATTACAAGTGATAAGTTCAGATAATTTCAGGACTTTTTTTTTTTTTTTTAACACTGTGCATCCACCAGAAAATCAATTGCTATTGCCAATGATGCATCAGATGAACAGAGCGCACAAGATTCAAAATTTGGATAATCCAAATGGTATTTCCTGGTGTATTTCTCGAGATTAACATACAAACACATATGTTGTAATTTATTTTACATGAAAGTAATTATTAAGACGAAATTAGACACTAACAAAATATACAAATTTAACAGGAAAAGGAAAAAAAGATGTGTCGAAGATGACATTAGTTGAAAAAAAGAATTACAGTTTCGAAACAATTTTTTCTTTTTTTATTTTGCAAAATAAATTTTGATTGATGTATATAGATTATTTAAAGACTTTTCTCATTCCTTTTAATGTATAAGTGATGATTAAAGAAGAAAATTGAACACTACATATTCTACTTTGGTGTGTTAGTTCGTGTCAAATATGTCTGAATTAAATTTGTAGATTTCAATAAAAATTGGTTTAATGCTTTCCTATATCTATTTTTAAATATCATTATTTTTTTGAATTTTAATATCAATACTTCTTTAATTCAAGCATAGTATTTTTCGAATTTTACATTACTTCAATAAATTTTAGCGGAAGACATTATGAAAGGCTAACATTGAAAACTTACAGTAATCAACTGAACTAAAAAAAAAACATACGAATAAAATATTACTAGCTATTTATATTACTAGTTATTTTCAAAAGAAAAAAAAGAAAAAAAAAAAATACAAATGGATAACAGGTGCATGTAACCATTAATGTTTATGATTTCGGTTTTAATAAAAAATGTGATTTGCTTTCTGAAAATATCACATTGCTTTAAATCATATCACTTGTTCGACGTCCTGTAGCAACGAAAGAGAAAACGCACAAAACCGCATAACAAATCTGATCAGCCTAAAAGTCAATTAAAATCTTTGATTTTTTTAATGCAAATTTACCAATTAAATAAAAAATTTGTCAATCATTTAAATTTATTACTTAGATATATGTAGACTTAAATATTCAAATTTTACAAAGAATACAACATGCATAGCATTCAGTCAAAGTTTAAATGCTATCAAAGTGTATGATAATATGATAAGTAATGAAATTAAAACATGTTTACACTGGTAATAGTGATGATTTCCTTGTATGCATTTGTTGATATGTTCAGTAGTTTCATAATTAATATTTTGTTAAATTATTTACCATTATGGTAGCAAAAGTTTAATTGTTTGAAAAAATATCACTAGATGTGAAATACATGAAATTGATTATAATAGAGTATTTGCATCATTCACGTTACTCTCGTGCACTGTTAATGATTGTTTTGCATAACTTACGGAAAATACACGATGTAATGACCATGCAATATCGGATGCCTGAATCAACAATTACAATTCATGCAAACAGCACAGAAAAATAATGACTACAACAACAACAGAAACAAAACAAACAATAACAATGACAATAACTTAAAAAATGATTTCTTCTATATTTGTTGATGCTTTTCTTTACTTTTTCGATCACTAACATATATTTTGATATAAATAATTAAATTGATATTTCAGAAGAAAAAAAAATGTGTCGACTATTATTTTAAAATTAATCATAATCATGCACTCTGCTTAATTGGCTCTTGATAGTAAAATATTTAAATTTGGCAATTTTTGCTAATCAAAAGCAATAAAAAAGAATGGAATTAAGATTCATGTGAAATCAAATTATTGATAATTATGCAGCAAACGGTTAATTGTTATAACAATCTTAAATAAACAGATATATTAACGGATACAATGGGTATGCTAACTAAAAGCATTCTATGTATATAATACAACACAAACTATTAAGTAAATGAAATTTTAAAAGTGCACTTTTAATACTTTATTCAAATCATACCATTTGGGATAAATAACGCCTCTGTATTAGTTTATTCTTTTTACGATCTGTAATATACAATAAACATTCATTACTTAGAAGTAAATGTGTAATATGTTGGAAAAATTTTTTTTTAAAATCTCCGCTTTTTGTGAGATTAAGACATGAAGAAATTCTTAACGGAAGAATAGGAAAGGTTAACAAATATTATTCATCTTTTTGTTTCAAAGTATATTAGAAGTAAAATGTTACAAACAATTTGAAATTTTTCGCAATTTTGCAAAAAGAGTAAAGCTAAGCAAGCAAAAGAATAAAGTAAAAATTTGTAGAGATTTTCTCTGAAAATAACATACCATATTCCTGAAGAACAAATACATTTCTACCAAGTGTACAACATTTTTTAAAATTGCTCAATTCAACGAAATGCTGAAAATGACCCGAATTTTAAAAGAAAAAAAGAACAGAAATTTTTTTGAAAGAAAAGGAAAGAAATAAAAATTTTTAATATAATATATTTATAAATTTATTTTAAATTCTGAATTTTTAAACAAAACTATATAATTTATTCAAAATTTTAAAATTTTGCAATGAAAAAATGGAATAATAACAGTAGCATTACCTGTCTATCTTCGAAAAGCAATGCTACACCATCTAATCGTACTTGTAGTATTCCACCTTGATTTGATTCCATATCCTGAATCGGAAATTCACCACCCAAATCTCGGCCAGATAGTGTAACTTTACCTCGTTTAGCAGCTCGCTCCATTGCTTCCTTCATTGTAGTATACAATTCGCGACACTATAATATTTGAGCAAAAATATGAATGCATTTAAATCTACAATGAAGCATTTAAATTATAGTCAGACAAAAAAATTTTATTCTTTGGCTTTATAAAAAATTATGTTTAACGTGAAAGATCACGTCTAACATGTGAATGCATGCATGAAACACGTAAGTACAACCTTTCTTGTGTAAAATTTGTGCATATACACTTTTCCTTCATGTCGTCGCCATAAGCATAAAAGACGTGTTTTGGGAGAATACGTCATATTGACTAGACGTTCATACCACCATCGTTCTGTAATAGCGCCAAGTACCGATCGAAGTACAACTGCGTCATCGCATACCTCAAAAAGCATTATCAAATTTGAAAAACTACAAATGACCATATTTTGTGAAGACAGAATTAAAGTGAAAGCAGAAAAAAAAAAAAACTAAGGCTAAAATCAAAACTAAACGACTTTTGGAAAAAAAGGCATAAATTCGACCTGAAATCTAATTAGACCTAAAAAGATGTTTTTAATTCTAATTTACCTCTATAAATACTAACGGATCTTGCGCTGTAGCTCCTTCATGAACAGTAAATAATCGTTTTTGAATAAGACGACTTCCGAGTGGTTTCAGTGGTATTCCATTACTTTGCTAGAAATAGATTTGATACAATAAAACATAACATTGATAAGACAAATAGAAGCAAAGGTCCAATTTGTTGATTGAAAAAAAATTAAGAGAAAGCTAACACATTGATGCAATTAAAGCTTTTGCAAATGGATTAGACAGAAAACTTCCGAAAGAAATTCAAGAGGTTAATCATCAAGTTCGTTCTAATTTATTCAAATCAACTTGTCAATGACTAAACTGATTACAAAGCAGAATACTAGGAAAAAAGATACACAATCTGTTATACTAACAGTTTTTGGAAGTTCATCCAAAAGTTGATTGATTGTTTTTGAATAAACCAAGCCAATATGCGCTTTACCTAACAAACGTCGTATTTTCTGAAATTTACTCTAAATCTTAATTCATAAATAAATATTGAAGAGTTGCAAGAAATTAGATAAACAATATAAAGATTTATCAAATTAACCAAAAACTATCTGGTCATTTAATACAGCGTAATCTTTTTTTTTAAAAAAAAAAATGTTGCGGCACGACCGAACGTCGACTATGAACATGCATCATTCGACCTCCTGTGAAGAGGCTTACAATACAAAGCATTAAACAGTGCCGTTTTAATTTCATCCTTTAATTGAACCGTGTAAAAAAAAACACACAATTTAAAAAAGTTCAACATAAAAAAAAAAAAACATTTTAGCTAAAGAAATAATGAGAAAACATATCATCATATTATAAAAGAATATCATACACTAAAATCTTTCTTTTTTCTTTTTAAAACTAAAATGTGCAGAAAATATATCGGAAAATATCAAAAAAACATTATACCTGTTGAACAGCTCGTTGACCACAACCGCACATAATCATATAAGATGTTAAATTATGAAGTAATGTAGACAATAAATGATCTTCCTCTAATTCTAGACGGCGCTTTTCAGATTCTGACAAACCACAATATCTATCAATCATTTCACATGGTTCTTGATCCATTCCTATAATATCGCGTTCTCGTGCAACCACATCGAAAAATGCATTTTCCCAAAAATCCATTTTTTGCCATAACGGATTTGGTGAAGGCACTAAATATAATTATAGTTGCTAAAATATTGAATGCATTTTTATCAAAATTGTCAAAATTAATCTATTTTTTCTTTCTCTCCTTTTTAATAATATTGGTTTATACAACTATCATATCATCGACAGATGATAAATATACTTTTAGTTAAGTACTTCGAGAATACAATAAAGTATTCACGTAACATTTTATAGTTTTAGAACTATGGCTTCATATAAATAAACCGCAAAATTGAACTAAAACAATTTAAGGGAATGAAAATAAGAAGCGGTTGAAATTAAACGAAAAGAAAATATAACATATCAAATCTTGATAAATGAAGTGTCGTATTGGTTTAACATCAGATGAGACACGTAATGAAGTTGTTGAATCTAGTGACAAACTATCTGGTGGATGCAAATTAAAGCGAGATTTCTGAAAGAAAAAAGTTTTATTATGTTTAATTTGACTTCAAGTTTAATTACATTATCACAAATGAAGTAAATGTATCATTGAACTCTAACTAGATGACTAAAGTTTTTCATTTAATTACAAAGAAATAATTACCGTTTTATTTTGATCAAAAATTAATCCAATTAAAGAAAGTGTAGTAATGCAATAATTTTCTAAAAAGTACAAAATATCTTGCAGTGATAAGACCAGCTATGCTTGCAAACAAACTTACAATGGTTGAACTGAATGATGGACGTCGAGATGTAGTCGAAATTTTTTCTATTTTATTAACAGGATTTAATTTTAATTTGGAATTTTTGGTATCAGGTGATAAAGTACTGTTTGTCTTCGTTACTTCTTCCAAATTTTTTGATTGGACATTAGGCTTTGACATTGATTGCGCATTATCACGTGTACTTGGACGAACTCCCGGCCGTGGTGGAAGTGGTGGTGGTGGACCAGTAGCTACAATATGATAATAGCATAAAAGTTTGGGATACTAATAACTACAGGTAAATTTACTAATCAGTATTTTGTAAAAGACTGCACAGAAAAATTATTTAGAATATTTCTTGTACAATAATTGAATATCTTAATGATTCTCTTCAAAATTCGTGGAGTTTAAAAAGATTGAATTACCAATCAAGAAAAAAAAACAAACTAAAGTCAAAAATAAGCATATAAAATAGTAATAACTACATGTAGCAAAAACATACGTAATACAATTTCATGAGAAATACGCGGTGGTATGGGAGGTTTAGGAACTTGATTTACAGGGAATGGTAGAGACGGCGGTGGTTGGATTGGAATTGGTGGCAGATGTATCGGTGATGAAATATCATGCTGTTGTCGCTGTACATCATATAGTGATGATGATGGAGTATTAAGCTGAAAAAAAAAAAAAGACAAAAAAAGACAAAGAAAAAGCAAGAGAAAAAAATTTCCTATTCGTAAATTCATGCAATTTAAATTAATCATAGAACAACTATCCTAAGTTTGTAAATTATCTTATGCGTAATTCTTACCAATTTATTGAAAACTTAGCTCTCAACCTCGTAAAATATAACATACACTTGAAAATAAGAAAGAAAAAGATTATAATAAAGTGTTCAATGAAATCACATATTATCTTGGAATTCTTCAGAGAGAAAATAAGTTCTACCAAACTTCTAGATGCACTTTGTGGTGATGTAACTTCAGTTTCTTTTGTCCAATAATGAGAATGGGCAATTTCAAGTACATGAAATAATGAAGCTAAACCATTAGAATCAGATGAATTGTATGAACATTCCAAACCAGCAATACATGTTTGCAAAACTTTCAAATATCCTTTATATTGATTTCGAGTTAATTGCTAAAATTTTTTTGCAAATAACATAAGAGATGAATGTTATTTGTTACATAATTAGTTTAATTGTAATTCGCATTTCTTTGATGTAGCAACATTATCATAAAGGCTTGGGAAGTTTTAATTTTAATAGCCCTTTGAAAAAGAAAAGTGATAGAAGAAAAAAAGATTTTCGAAAAGTTTCTTTTTTCTCTCACCATATCTTGCATGAAATCATCTTCATAATGTTGCACATCAAGACTGAGATTTAATTTGGAACAAACAAGTTGTCTCAAGCTTTCATCTTCCATTAATCGTTTCAATTTTGGATATGTGAAAACACCAACTCCTTGACCAGCTAGGATTTGATTACATATTTCGCGAACAATTTGTTGATTCTTACTGAATTAATTCCATTAAATCAACACTTAAAGAATAGAAGAAACAAAATACTGAATGGAATATAATTATCAAATATTTAAAGTAATATAATTGCTAAATTACTTAATTCATAAAATTTAACTTACCATTACATTAAACATCGAAATAGTAAAAAAATACGTAAACAAATTTTCGGAAGCTTTAAATAAAATCTTACAGATATAATCATATATCTACTGGTAAAGACCAATTTATTAGGTTTTATTAATGCTTAAATTAATGGACAAATTGAACCAAAAAAAAAAAAAAGAAAAAAAATTCGATGACTAATATTTTTAGCTTCTCATAAAAGGATTCAACCCAACATATAAAAATGCATTATTTAATCTGAACAAAATTACCTCGTTTTTCTCCTTTCGTACTAAATCAGTGTTTTAAACTAATTTTTTCAACAGGTTCTTTCTTTTCTTTTTTTTTTTCTTTTTTTTTTTTTTTTTTGCAAATAGAACAATTATTAGAATTTAAATGAACCTTTGTTGTGCAGCTGCATTAGCATTTCTGTCGCCAATCATGCTACTTCTTGTCCTTACAAGATGTTGACTTTGTTCTACTCGATTTGCTGCAGCTAAAGCAATTGGACGGACAGCTTTATCTCGTATAGCTTGAGCTTTCGGAGCTGTACGATGTAAAACCTGTAAGAAAGTGAAGAAATGATATAATTATTGAAAATAATCTTTTATATTTTTTGTTTTAACGATAATATTTTTATAAAATACAGGATGAAAGTTAGGATAATCTATTCTTTTTGTCCAATTATTACATCAAATTATCTTGCAGTAAATGAAATAATGAACCTGATTTAACATATCATGACTTCTCTCTGCATATCCATTAAGTGCATTCATGAACTGTGGTCCAAGAACTTTTTCACCTGAATCTGCTAATTGAGCCAAACCCTGTAAGCATATGCATTACATATCCTTTACACATATTACTTTATACAAAAAATTTGGATGACATGAGTTATTAATTATATGAAAATTTGAAAAAAAAAGTATGAAAAATGAAGGAATATGAATTACAAACCTTAATACCAGCTGCTTTTAATGGTGGTGTTTTGTTGGTTGCTGTACTGGTTGAACTTCCGGACTGGGATGATAGTCTACGAGATGCTAAGGTTTGACGATCATTTATCGGAGTTGATTCATTTGAAGGACGAAACGAAAAGTCACCCTTCATGAATACAATAAATTTAGAGTGAACATAAAATGTATATAACATTATATATCAATTAAAAAAATTTACTCTGCTATCTGATTTTAATGCCAAATTGTCGGCAAGTCTTGCAAAATCAGCTTCACTATCCATTGCTGATGTTGAAATTGATGAAGATGGTGTAGATCTGAAAAAACACATCAAACAATTTGAAGCAAATCACATTTTCATGAAAAATATTTAACGATAATCAAGAAGAATTGCAACTTCATGAGAAATATCCAACGATAATCTAGAACAATTCTAATTAATTCAGTATGTAGTAAAGTTTAAAATAACAAAATTAACTTACTGGCCACTGCTTGTCGAACTATGAACTGAGTGTACACTTTCACTTCTCGGAATAGCTAACGTCAGTGGCTCCTTATAAACGTCATCTACTTCTGCAAGTGATTTTGCTCCTGAAAAGGAAATAAAAAGTTTACAGTTTCAAAATTCTTTAACATACATGCTTTAAGTTTAAAATAATAACAAAAAAGAATGATAAAATATCCAAATTATTACCCAAGTGTAAGGATTGAATGTGATGTAAGGACTGAACTTAAGTTACAACAATGTAAAAGTATATAGCTCAAAGTCAAAAAATTAAATTATACACAAAATTTAGCAAAGAGTGAATATTGAAATTGTCTACAAATATGATATGTAGCATAGCATCAACCTTTTGATGATTACCAGCTTAATTAGATTAAATTTTAATCATACCGATAGATGTATCCGTTTGATCAGGAATATCGAACAAGAGATCATCAATGCTGGAAAAGCTTTCACCATCAGTATTTCCAGCATCACTTACTTCATCGCCGTTAGAATCTGAAACATAATACACCATTCACATGACTTTACATTATTTTTATTTTGTTAATTAATTTAGTAATCAACGATCAAAAGATTGATTTATGTTTCTATTTTGATGCAGAAATATTCTGAACGATGAGTAAGAAGCTTAAAAAATAGATGAAAATATTACCTGTTGCACTGTTTTGTCGTTCCTTTGCAGCTTTTTGCCATGCATCAACAAGCGTCGAATCATTCGAATATATCTAAAAAAATAACTTTAAACTTTTCATCATCTTCCTAGCACTATTCTTCCAACAAACCACTTTTATTCACGAGAATTATATATTTCTATCAATATCCATAAATCATTTTAGTAAAGCAATTCAAAAAAAAAAGAAATAATAACACTTCCTGTTTACTCTACTTTTCACCACTTCTTAATTGATTAATCGAACATAAATATTTTCGAGATTTTTCTAAGGATAAAAAACAGAAAAAAGATAGAGTAAGAATAACAAACTGCAAAATGAATAGGCATCAACGATTCGTTAAACCATTTTCCTTTATCACCAATTTGTTTTGGATCATCCGTTCCTGCCTGTACTCGTACATATGTTTCATTATGTGGACATAAGGAACATTCAGCAAAATATTCCACAGCTTGAGTTCTAGATTGTTTTTTTTTTTTTTTTTTTTTTAATTCTATAATATGGAAAAAAATGGAATTAAAGGAAATTTTAAAAATTTTTTGCAGAAAGAAAAGTTATGAAACATTCTTTTTCTCGTCAAACTTCATTAAAATGGACTGAATTTTCAAAATATATATAAATTGTAAAACTAACTTGCAAAGTTCAGCAATAAATTGTGTAAATTGCGGACGGCTACGCAGGAAAGATTCTGTTTGAAGTGCAACGACTGGTCGTGGATAAAGACGTAATGTACGCGTATGCTCACAAAAATTTGCAAATACATTTGCACTATTAAAAAAACGGATCTAAAAATAAAACAAAATTTTGGTCAATTTATGAAAAAAAAATTTTTATGAAAAAACGGTATTTTTTTAATATAATATTTCTAAATAATTAAAAAAAAAAACAAACAAACAAACAAACAAATAAATAAGCAAGCGAACAAACAAGTGAATGATAAACAAGCGAACAAACGAACAAACAAATAAACCGGATATATAAATGAATAAAGAAACCATAGCAACGCGAACAGCAATATCAACAGCGTCACTATCAAATGCAGAATTCATCTCAACCATTTCATCACTTTTCGATTCCATTTCTGGTACACTTAGCAATAATTTATCCAATGATTTACGTAAATTATTCTAAAAAAAAAAAAAAAAAAAAAAAAAAAAAAAACCTATTACAAAGTTATACGTTTTGTTCTCCTCTTTTTTTAAACAAATAAATTAAAATTTATAAATTTTTCGAATTAAAAAGCTAGTTTAGAAAATATACCCTTCTTTGTTTTTTTTTTTCTTACAAAAAAGGCGTCATTATTACTATGAAAGGAAAAAGAAAAGTAAATGTCAATAATAATTCATGAAATGAAATTTAGTTTTTTTAAGAACAAACCTTTAATTCAGTACTATCTGGTTCCGGCATATCAGGAATGTCAATATCATCTGATATCAATAATTGATTTGTATCAAGATCAACAACAATAACATCATTTGGTATATCAATAGCTTTATGGGCAAAAAATGATGCTGGTACACCGATTACAAATGGTGTCGGTGCATATAATAACTAAAATATGATGAAACTAAATATAAAACATGATATAAATTAATTGATATTAATTGCTTAAAAAAATATTCGTTATAAAGAATTGAAAAATTACCACATTAATTTTATAAAGCAAATTGTAGAAAGAACAATAATATTGTTAAAGATAAATTATATAATTGGTAGTAAATTTTCATAAAAGTCAGAAAAAACAAATTTAAAAAATTAAAGTAAAAATTTTAAGTTAAAATTACTTGTTCAGCTGAGGACATAAAAGATGGAAGTAAAGGTATAACGGGGAACATATATTCTAATGGATACATTAGAGCAACAAGTGCTAAGACGCACATACTAACAGCATTGTAATTACGTGATTGTAGAACAACCTAGTAAAAAACAAATTAATAAATTAATTAGTTAATTGATTATTGATTCGAAATTATCATTTTATTATTTGAAAAAGAAAAAGAAGCGAAAGAAAATTTCAAAAGCAGACTGTATGTAGTTAACTAATTTGTATAATCAATAAAATTAGATAAATTATATTTAAAATTGAATTAAAACAAAAATTTTATAATTCAAATAAATTGGTAAATGATGAAAATTCATTAACTATTTCTTTTGTAAAATTTTAACTAAACTTTTATTATTTATAAATATTACAGTGGCAAATGTAACCTTTGATTCAAGCATTATAGCAGCCATTACTTTCATAGCTGTATCAATTCCAAGAAGTTCAAGTGGTAAATGAAGTGGAAAATCAACAAATGAAAATCGCGTATGATCAGGAAGAGCAAATTCAAAAATTGGTATAATGTTTGATGGTAATACCTAATTAAAATTCTATTAGAAAAAAAAATTCATTTGCCAATTTTATATCTATAATATTGCTGAAAATTTTATATCAAACTTGTTTTATTCCATAAATTTTTAATTTTAAAAAGCAAAAAAAAAATTTGTTTTTAAACTTCAGTAATAAATATTGCAATACGAAAAAAGAAAAAAAAAGATAGGAAAATAAAAAAAAGAATAAATTCAAGAAAAACAAAAAAAGATACACTTACCTCTAAAAGTATCTTAGTTTTTCCTGGAACAGAAACTGGTGCACTTAATAACATCAAAATCCATGTTTCCAATTCTCGAATATCTTGCATAACCCTTGGTGGTATTGGTTCCGTCCAACAACCCGTAAGTATTGCCCAAATCATATCTCTAGAAATGCAAATATTATGTATAAATGTTAAAATGCTATAGATTATGACAAAAAAAAAAAAAGCTTATCAAATTTTAATTTAAAAAAAAGACAAAAAGAATTTTAATGAAAAAGGATTACTTTGAATATTGTCCACCTTCGCTAAGTCTTTGACTACAACCATCGATCAATCTCTTCAATAACACCAGCAGTTCTCGAAATATGGAAAGAAATGGATGATGGCTAATCAAGCATAAGCTTGTTAATGAAAGCCTTTGATCAAGTCTGTAGAAATATTTTTTATGATTGATTTCTGAGAAATATCCATAAAATATTACATGAATAGACGATATTTTCGGATATTTTAAAATAAACTTAAGAGGCTTACAAAAAAATACACTTTTTTTTCTTTTTTTGGTTGGTTAAATACCAAGAAATTTCTAATTAGTTTCGTAAATTATTTTGATAAATATTTCTTTCATCTTTTTAAATTTTTCGTAACTGATTGATTAAATTTAACCTTTTGTGAGAACGATTACTGCTCAAAATATTTTTACCATCCATAGATGCAGTAGGATATTTTTCGTAACTTTGCAAAAAATTTAAGCAAATTCCATAGCGAATTTTTGCTGAATCTTTTTCAGTCAATGTAAAAACAAAATTTGTTGTTTCTCGATGTGAATGAGAATCCCGTGGTACTTCTAGAAAATAGTATTTGTTTGATTATGTGGATATTATTAATTAATTAACAAAATTTTTTAACGATGTAAGTAAGTTGAACTTTTTCGTCAATCAATTTCTAATAAATAAAAGTTTTACGAAAAATTATTTTCCTTTTTTTTTGGGGGGAATATTTTTGGCATTTGTGTAAAAATAATCAGCTAATTTACCTTTTGTGATACAACCTTCAGGTTGACAAAATACTGTAACATCGGTAGGAAGAAAAAAATCCTTGTGATCATCATTTGGATAACGTCTCAACAATTCAGGTGTTACACTTTGTGGCATTGATGATGATGATGCATCATTAATATTTGTCTGAGATATATATTTTCCACGACGTCGACCAACTATCACCTAACAAATTTTCATTATCAAATTATTTGAAATTTTAACTGGCCTATAATTATTGCTATTAGCACTGGAAGTTTTTGAAGAAAAATAAATCATTGACTTTTTCTTTTATTATTTGAAAATCATAACTGGTTTTTAACTGACTAGTTTTTTTTCGAAATTTGCATATTAAAAAAAAATGAAAAAACATCAATAGATTTATTAAATTTACTGAATCAAGAAAGTTTAAAATTTAAAAAAAAAAAGAACTTTATATATCTAAAAAAAAATCAAGGAGCTTTAGTAATTTCATCAAGAAAAAAGACAAAAAATACCAAATAATCAATTAAACGTGGACAGAGTTCTTTTCCTTTGCATCCATTTGACATTATTTGGTTAAATAATGATAAAAAAAGTGAATCCAATTATTTTACTTTTATCTGAAAGCAAGTAGTAAAAATAATAATAATAATAATAGTTCTAGTTTAAATTTTAAAAATATTGTGAAAATAATATCAAAAAAAAAGAAATAGAAAGAAAAAAATTGGAAGAGATTTGATCGAACTGATCATGATAAGCTTACCAGAAATTGAATAGAATCAAACAAAATATTATACGGTATATGGCTCAAATAAAATTGGGAATTGTTGATGATAATGATTATAACAACAATTTATTATTATTTTTTAAATTGGATTCAAGGATTACTATTATTAATGATAAATAATATTTTGCTATTATTAGATCTAAATATAGTACGAAAATTTCCACAAAATTATTTTTCCTTTCAAACAAAATTTTTTAATTGTTCCAGAATAAAGTCAAAATAAGTTTTTGATCATTTTTTTTTTAAATTATTAACTGACTTTTTAATTATTTCTCTTCCTTTTATATCATAAGTAGTTAACGAATTTAAGAGAATAGTTTCTGTAATTGCTCATATCTATTTTGTTTTCTGCTTACCATTAGTAGATTTGAAGGTATACAAACATGTGTAGATAAATACTCATATTTCTATTGAACAATTCGATTAAATTTTAATCAGTCTCAGTCGGGTAGTGTTAATAATTACTGACGTGAAATTTATTAGGAAGTGTTGAGAGACATAAATTTGATTAAACGAAAAGCCGATAATGAAATTTGCTATGTTGAAGTATAAATTTGATTAAACGGATAATTACTAAAAATTTCACACAGTGCACTGAAAATTGCCTAAATTTAGTCTAAATAGTAATCAGTAAGATAAGAAAACACAGAATTATTGTTATTGTTATTATGTTTTAAATATTTTCAACCAGTAATGTTATCAATGATAAAATAACATTTCAAGAAATTATACATATATCTTGATAACGAAGGAATAGACTATGAGATGAATTATTATTACATTTGTTATCAATATTCTCGTAAAAAATTTCAACCATTTTTGTTTTCTTATAATTTTTTTCTTTTTAAATAACATACAATATGAAGATTTGATTTAAGCATAATAATTATGATTGCGCTAATTAAAAAATAAATAAAGTTAAAATTTTTTCTAGAAAAATATAACCAACTTCTTAAATGATGAATATTACATATGAAAATAATACAGTCTATTTAATTAATCATATTTAATTAAAATTTCTTGAAAAAAAAAAAGAAAAAAAGCCTAATAAATGTAGTTTTAATCAAAAGATAAATTTTTATTCGTTCTTTAATTTTATTACATTTTTATGTACGATAAAAATTCATTCGCTTATAAAATTTATATATATATATTTTAAAGAAAAAGAAATTTCATTATTTCCACTTGTAAATTTATAAATATGGTCTTTTCGATAAGTGTACATATATGTCTTTAATATTATAGAGAGTAAAAGAGATAGAGAGAGACAGAAGGGAGAGAAAAAGAAGGAAAGAGAAAAAGAATGGAGTAATAAAATCCATTTCTGAATATTATCTCTCTGAGAATAAAATGGCTTCGATTTAAGATTAAGTCGTTTATTAAAATGATGCAAGTAGTTGAAATTAGCTAAGTTAAAATGAGTGGTGAATAGTTACTTGTTGAGAATAAATGATAAATGATGTAAATGAATGTGTTTTTTTTTTTCCTTTTTAAGATATATCTATGCATTTTATTTGCATAGTAAAAATTCGAAGTAAAATAAAAAATAAAATGAAGTTTTTTTCTTTTTTTGCAAAAAAAAGAAATACACTTATTGTTAAAAATAAATTATTTACTGTATTAGAAGAGAAAATAATGGGAACAAATTTACTGTATTAGAAGAGAAAATAATATTGATAGCTTAACATTTTGCAGTTGTTTTCTTTCTCAGCTATATTGGAACTCAAAATTCTAAATAGAAAAAAAAAACGAACATAAAGAGAGATATTAACAGAATCCTATTTGATTTAATTTGTTTCTGAAAATGATAGAAATTGCGAATAACGTTAAAGTATTAGATTATAATTCAAAATTCAAACTTATAAAAAAAAGTTTTGATAATTGAAATTATGAAAATGATTATGAATGATAGCTGCTTGAAATATATATATATATATATATAACAATTACGTGCAAGATACTGACTGGCTTGAAATGTTAATCAATGGCAATATTATAATTTAAAATTTGAAAGAAAATACAAATTATTTATTAACTTGAAAAAATGTATTGACAAAAAAAAAAAACCAAAAAAAAAACCAAACAGTAGATCAAATAATGGGTATGTGATATTACTAATGCTGCTACGATTCCCATTACTGTTAGCATCAATGCCATCATTATTGTTATTATTATCATTACTATTACCAATTACTAATTATTATTATTGTCGTTAATATTATTTCTTAATCATTACCATTGCTAATATTATCACTGCTACTAATCACTACACCAATATTTTTATCAATGTTTAAAAATAACAAGCAATGGTGTTCAATAAAAAGAAAGAGAAGATAGACAAGGAATAGACTGATTACATTCTAAACAAGAAATAAAAGTAAATTTCGACTACTGAAATAATTTTAATCAAGTCATTTTTATTCCTTGTTAGAAATATCACAATAACTTAGATTTGTTAAAAATTTCCTTAAAAATGTACTAAACGATAAATAACATAACTCACTGAATAATGACAAACAGTAACAAATAATGGTGATAATAATAAGATTGGTGTATATATTTTTTTATTATTAAAATTATTAACAATATTAATGTATACAATAATAATTGATAATAATAATAATAATGATAAGAATAATACAAATTAATATTATTATTAATAATATTAATAATTATTAATAATAATGATTTTAATAATGGTAATAAGAATAATAACAATTTCACAATAATAATTGATAATAATAATAATAACAATAATAATAATAATAATAATAATAATAATAATAATAATAATAATAATAATAATAATAATAATAATAATAATAATAATAATAATAATAATAATAATAATAATAATAATAATAATAATAATAATAATAATAATAATAATAATAATAATAATAATAATAATAATAATAAATAATAATAATAATAATAATAATAATAATAATAATAATAATAATAATAATAATAATAATAATAATAATAATAATAATAATAATAATAATAATAATAATAATAATAATAATAATAAAATAATAATAATAATAATAATAATAATAATAATAATAATAATAATAATAATAATAATAATAATAATAATAATAATAATAATAATAATAATAATAATAATAATAATAATAATAATAATAATAATAATAATAATAATAATAATAATAATAATAATAATATAATAATAATAATAATAATAATAATAATAATAATAATAATAATAATAATAATAATAATAATAATAATAATAATAAATAATAATAATAATAATAATAATAATAATAATAATAATAATAATAATAATAATAATATAATAATAATAATAATAATAATAATAATAATAATAATAATAATAATAATAATAATAATAATAATAATAATAATAATAATAATAATAATAATAATAATAATAATAATAATAATAATAATAATAATAATAATAATAATAATAATAATAATAATATAATAATAATAATAATAATAATAATAATAATAATAATAATAATAATAATAATAATAATAATAATAATAATAATAATAATAATAATAATAATAAATAATAATAATAATAATAATAATAATAATAATAATAATAATAATAATAATAATAATAATAATATAATAATAATAATAATAATAATAATAATAATAATAATAATAATAATAATAATAATAATAATAATAATAATAATAATAATAATAATAATAATAATAATAATAATAATAATAATAATAATAATAATAATAATAATAATAATAATAATAATAATAATAATAATAATAATAATAAAATAATAATAATAATAATAATAATAATAATAATAATAATAATAATAATAATAATAATAATAATAATAATAATAATAATAATAATAATAATAATAATAATAATAATAATAATAATAATAATGATAAGAATAATACAATAATTATAACAATTATAAGAAAAAACTAATGAAATCATTAGGAGTATGATGATTTAAAAACGTTAAAATAATGTTACAAATGATTATTTACGAAGTCTACAACTAATAGTATATATATATATATATATATATATATATATATATATATATATATATATAAGAAAAAAAAGCTGATTACATTATATTCCAATAAAAGAAACAAAAGAGATTTTAAAAAAGGCGATGATTATTTGAAGTGAATAAAATTTATAAACTAAAATTTGAATTCTTTTAGAGAGTGTGAAAAATTTTCCAGTACCCTAAAAATATTAAGCATAAATAAGTAATAAATGAATATCGAAAGGAAAAATGAAAAGGAACAATTTGCATGGAAAAATAGGCAGAATGCTAAGGCAGTGAAATAGATGATGATGCCAAGGCTTTTTGTTTGCTTTTATCGGTTTCCATCCAAACAAGCTGAGCCAGTCAATCCATCGTTTTTCTCTTCATTCTCATTCAATCCACTTTCGCTATCCTTTTTAATCCTAATTCTTCAACTTTTCCATCTATTACAACTAGTTTCTGACTAGTTGTAATAGATGGAAAAGGACCAATCACAGGGACCCAATATGAATTTCCATCGATCACACTATGACTAATGGCTAATATTTATGCTTTAAAATGCTAACACTCTCATGCCTTCTTAATTTCTCTTTTTTAAATCAATGATATGAAGTAATCTCTATATCCTTTTATGCTCGCTCGCATACACATATAAAAATATATGGGTGTGTGTGTGTGTGTGTGTGTGAATGCTTTTCAATGCATAAAATTATGGAAGAACCAGGTAATATTTTACTTTTCCACTTACCATTTTATCCGTTATCAATATATTTCTTCTCATTTATACCTTCCTTTTCTTCTCTTTTCATTCTTTTCCTTTTTTTTGCAATTATAATTATACTTCAACTTTTTATTTTAAAAAATTTGGTAACGAAATTAAAAAAAAGTATTGAATTCTAAAATGTTTCAGATTTTTGCGACATATTAAAATTGTTAAATAATTAAAAATTTTTTAATAAATTATCCATTTATAATACAATGTTATGTTCTTCAGATCACTGTTTCTTTTTCTCTCTTTGTTTTTTTGAAAAACAATTTATTTATTTTTTTATGTGCTGCTAAATTAAAAAAAAAAAATTGATTTAGGCTAATATTAAATCGAAAATCGTGAAAAAAGTAGACAAAATTAAAATATAAACTCCAAGAGAATTACTACGAAAGTTAACATTACTTATGTCAAATGGGTTAAAGGTAATTTTTTTCCTAATATAGCTCAGGTTTAAAAACAAATCCAAGCATAAAATAATGTATTATTTAGCATTTTATGAATTTGGTTTAAATTAAATATATGATGAAATTAAATGTATTAATTGAAAAAATTCAAAGTTTTAAACGTCTTTTTTTGTCTTCGTTTTTTTTTTTTCAAAAAAAAGAGCAAGATAAATTGAAATTGCTTTAACATTTGAAACAATATTTTAAGAAAAATGTAATCACGAAGCTTAATAAGAAATTTTTAAAATATAATCCTTTCAAAAAAATTTGTTTTGAAACAAATTTTTAAAAAATGGAAGAAAAAATTTTTACATATTTATTTCATTTACAGTTTTATAATCAAGTGAATGATGAAGGAATAAATAATAAACTTTTTAAAAATGATGAGTCAAAAATATTAATGCCTAATCATATCTAATGTACTGTAGAACAAATCTTCAATCTAATATCGATAAGCAGTTAACTTTTCTGTTGTCATATAAGGAATAGATAAATTACAGTGATGTGCCAGAAAGTTTTAGCGTCATAATATGTTATCATATGCGATTATAATTTTTCTTCAAATATTTTTGCTTCTTTCTTCTCTTTGCAATCTTAGGTAAAATTAGTTTCATTTTTTTTTTTTTTTTTTTTTGGAAAAAAAGGCTGAAAATATGATAAACAAAATTTCTACATTGCTTGTAATGATAACGATAAAAGTTGATTTAAATAAATTAACAAGCAAACGAAAAAGTAGAAAGAAGCATCTCTTCATGTATATATATATATTTAATGACAAATAATATTTCAAAATTAATGTATTTTTGATTAACATTTGATCAATAATATTGCTCAAAGCGTAATATCGATTTATTCAAATTACGATTAGATATCAGTCAATTATTGAACAAATGAAAATAAAAAGGTTGGAAAGTGATTTCAATGAATATACAAAAATGAATGATAAAAAAAACGAAGTACTTTTTCGCAAATATTTCTCTAAAAAAAAGAAAATAGCAAATAATATTTCAAAGAATATTATACTTTTGATCGAACTGGATCGTAAATGAATTTATTAGCAAAAATGAATTTAACAAAATTGACCTTTACTTCATCAATAGTTCAAATATTTCATGAAATATTTCGAAAATTTCAAGATTCTCATTCCTCAATTTAAAGCAATAATCTTTATGGCTCGATTTTAAAATTAACTCTAAAAAACACTATGAATTCGCATTATCATTATTATAGTAAGTATTGAAAAATTAATTTAACGTAATTTAAATAATTGCTACAGATGTTTTCATATATATTAAGTTGTAAATTATTGAGGTTAAAAAGAAACTCTACCAAATGAATGTTCTAATTATTTCGGAAAAGAAAGAAAAAAACTAAACAGAGAATAATTTCTTTGTTACTCTTAATTTGTCCCATGAAATATGAAACTTTGCTGTGTTAATGTATTGTACTTTAACATTTGGAAGAAAAATTGAAAATTTTAATTAGAATAACTTTCTGATCTACTTGAGTGCTTTATGATAATTCGAACTTTTTAGCATGAATTAAAAAAAGAAAAGAAAGAAAAAACATTTTGCTTTTTATTTTAAAGCTAAAATTTTTAAGATACCAAAAAGAAATTTCTAGAAATTAAAGATAAAAAGCACTTCATATTTTGAAGATTTGATATTAGCCTAATTCAAACAAATATATAAATCTGCTTATGTATATATACATTACAAACAGCCGTTGGGCGGGTGAAATTTCATAATGACATCATTCACATTTCAACAAATGCTTTTTACTTCTTGTGACTGGTGAAATGTGGTAGATGTAATTCCGGTTATCAGGGAAGTACATTATGATTTCAGTTGGCGAAGGAGTAGAGCAGATGTAGTTCCGGTTAGCAAGGAAATAGATATAGTATCATGTATGGTAGGTTAAAAAGTAGGTAAGATTTGATTAATACATTCGATCGTGATTGAGAATTAGTAGCAAAATAGCGCTAGAATTTAAGCTGTTAGAGAATAGGAAAATTTTCCGAATATTATGCAATTATTGTTGAAGTATTGTTTATGATTGTGAATGAAGTACTGTAACGTTGAGGGGATGAAATGAAGAATGAATAACAATAATGATGTGATAGATTGAGAAAATATCGAAATAATTACATTTAATAACTGTAATAAGCAATGATTTTATTAAATTAGAAAAAAAATGCTGTTCAAAATTCTCGAAATTTGGATTAAGGTCGAAAGTTTTTTTCTAGCAAAGATGACATTTACTTTATATGGTCAATGATTTCAGTAACTTTTTTTGTTCTATGTTTCTTTGGAAAAGTTAGAAAAGATATTATATTTTTGCGTATCTATGATAAATATTAAGTTGATGATTCATTAATTTCTTCTATAATTTCAGAATTAAAAATGTTAGTTTTGTTATTATTTTGGAAAAGCAACGTCAAATTTCGTTTTTGTATCGTTTGATTTGTAGGAACAGTATCTGATATAATCGATTTTTCTTCATTGTGCTGTTTCATACCCTGTTAGTACAGTTGTTATTTTTCCTCTTAAACAGTAATAGCAATAGTTACGAATTTCGCGAAATTGCGAAATATTTGGAGTTTATTTTTACAGATAGTTTGGATTCCCAATGAGGATTTGTTTTGCTGACACGAAATGAGATTTAACCTTTGAATTTTCAAAAAACCTAGTGTAAATCGCTATAGATATCGAATCCATTTTCAGTATTTTAGACGTAGAGGTTTTGATTCACTTCTTCGTAGGGGTTATCAGTGGCAAAAGATGTGATGCACTAACTGGTTGGACATAATATTTCTGGGAAAATTATCTTCATATCGATAATAATCCCGTGTACGCTACTACTAGGTGAAAGAAATAACTGGATTGCACTTTTGGTATGATCCTTCTCTTTGATTTCAGATATGATTGTGCTAAAGTTTCAGTAGCTACTTTGGCATTAAAGGTATCGCCGTTCAGAACCTCATAATGGTATTTTTGTCTATGTCGCCGCAAACAAATTCTGTAGCATTATATTTGAAGCAATCACGTCTACTTTTCCGGATTGGTTTATGTATAGTTTTGTTAGGTTGGTTTTCACTTACGTTTTGCATGAAGTAGAGTTTGTTAAGCCTTAACGTTTTAGTAGAATTCCTTATTAATCTTTGTAAACACGAAAAGTAAACGATTTGCTTTTTCCGGTATTGCTTAATGTCAGGTTTTGCGTGTACCAAAATCTAAATGCTGTTATCATTTTTCATAAAACTGCACGGACATCGTTGCTGGTGAGAGTTTGATCTTGTAATTTATTTATTCTCTTTTTTTAGGAGGAATTTTATCTCTTTCTGAAGTTATTTTTGAATTGTTCTCGTTAACTGGCCATGATTTGGTGCATTTTGAATTATGGCGGCTGTTTACACATTTTACCATCGAGACCAATATTTTTGCTTTCATTTTACTAGTATGGAATCTTCATCAAGTGGCATCATTAATCGAGCCAAACTGGGGCATGTTTGAAACCATCAAATATCTAGGCATCGTTCAGGTGTAATTTTTATGCTGTATCATTTTAAGCGTTTTCAGTTTTGTCAGTTGTTAGTCTAAAAGTGAGGAGGACGAAATCCTTGATGTTGCTAAGGAGAAATTTGCTCATTTATACTAAAGATCCGAAATGATGTATGTAAATCTTCAAAAATTAGGTAGTAATGTATTTTAATGTTTTTTTTTAATGTTACGGCTTAGTACATCACACACTGTGTTTGATATCTTGGTATGTCGTATACACTTCATGGTAATAGCTAATCACTTAGTTCTTTTGGACACTTTATATATTGTTTTTTTGAATGGAATGGTATAAATGCCAGCCGTCAGTTTGTTCCGTTTAATCCATCCTTTTATTGTGATGCTATTTGGCTGAACAGATTTATATTTACCAAATAAACAATGCTGAACTGAACTGAATGAAGTGTCAGCTGAAATGGATTAAGTCATATTATTTTATCCTTTGTTAGTTACCACTTTCTAGATTGGTTCATCGCTTTTAATCACGATTGTGGCATTACTAACATTTGTTATCACGGTAAATGACACCTTTTTTTTTCGGACTTATATATTTGGTTTACTATCGGCTTGTTCCGCCGTTTGTGTTGCTATGAAACAGGTAGGGAATTTATATCTGCTCTTAAAAATTTTAAAGCTCTTCTGAGATTCATATTTTAGTTTATCATCTGCATCCCACAGATTTGTTTTTACAAGGCATTAATTGTTTGCAACCATTTCTAAGCAAAATTCTAACTTTTATTTATTATGTTTGAACGAGCCGATATCATCCATCTTCCATGCATATTGGCATTATTTTCAGTACCTACCAGACTCGGTACTTCTGACTACACCAATTGGTCATATCAAAAATACTCATCTTCCTTCTTGTATTCTTGTCACCGCATCATTTTTGGTTGGATTCGGCTTTCTTCGTTGGGTCTCACTACTTCAGATTCTATCCGGTATTCAGATAAGCTGGATTTATTTGCGGTTTTTGCAACCGCATAATGGTGAGCCGAGAGGGGACCCCAGCGAACATTTTGCATGGGCAACGTATGCCATATGATATTTTTTCAGTTATGTTGCATATTGCTTTTATATCACCCTCAATAAGTTTTGCACTTTCGAATTTTAATGGTAACTTCCTCGTTGAGTAGTTCAGTCGACACTACGAGCACAATGCTAAAGGGTATATAAAAACTTCTGCGGCATTGTTAAAGTCTTTTTTTTCCTCAACAAAGATTTTACTAAATACCAGCGCAGTGGCAAAGCCAGCAATGCAGATAAGTCTTGAAATAAGGTTTGAAATATTCGCTGTTGGACAGTTCATTCCATTCCAGCCACTTATCAGATTTCAAGCAATTTTAATTCGTTGTTCACAATCGGTTAACACAAGATACTGTCACCCGTCTTCATCCATTGCTTTTTCCATACAATACATTTATTCATTTTATGTACGATTAGATTATTAGATTTTTACATAAACAAAGCTTATCGTTTCTCATCATATGGAACTGTAAACAAAAAAAAAAAAAAAAAAATGAAGGGTTAGTACTACAGAATTCAAAAAAATATGTGTAAAATTCAAAGGCGACAAAGTCTGTTTTTATTCTATACCAACCTATCTATTGTACTTTTTGTATTATTAAATATAAAGTGTAACCACTTTAGTTTGCTATAATTCCAGTCTCTTCCCTTCGAAGTTACAACCGTTAATGAGGGTGCTATCATCAGCAGTTTATACTTGCTTGATACAAGCACATTTATGTAAACCAGTGGCAAGGCGTATCGATCTAATGCAGCTTGATTCTATAAATGTCATTCTTCCTGGTTTACAAACGAGAGATACGGAAAGAAGGCGGTAGGACTTTTCTTTTTCAGATACTTTTAACATTTTATTATCTGCTGTTTACTATTACTACTGCTTGCACTCAATGGTAAGCTGTATTCTTGTTGAGCCCTTTTTTCTTGATTGAAACTTTAAGGCAGAAAGCACTGCGCGATTTGACCGAACGTTTAAATCGTGTACAGCAAGCTGAAGCAAGTTTGTGGCCAGAAATGGAAGATGTTGAAGATGGTATAACAGTTCAGGACACTTTTGTAATCCAACAACAGGAAGAGTCAAGATCGCAAGATTCAGTAGTGTTAGAACCAATTTCTTTAATCTAGACGTGGATTAAAGAAAATGATGGTCGGGATTTTCTTGCAGTAGCAAATGCACAGTCATGTTCTCAATGCGCACTTGTGAAGTGATGCACTATATGAAATAAACAGTTAATGCCGTTAATTCTGGTCAGAGAAAAAAGCTCTGGTGAAATGAGCTTTTTTCAGTGCCAAGATTTAGTTTAGAAGAATGTCAAACATAAGCATGAATATAAAATATTTCCAATCTTTTATTTCATAAAATCCTGAGTTGGACATTTTACAATATAGTTAAGTTTCGTTCATAGCAGAAAATCAGTTTCCGTGAACTGCGGAACTCAGGTATCTTGATTTAATAAATTTTAAATTACTTGTTACAGGTACCTTTAACTGAAATTAATGCTGATAAGGAAAAAGCAAAAGCAGATATATAAAATGCATAGGTCCGAATAATGCAATTCGGTTTTTAAGAAATTCTATAATAATTAGTTGCAAATATTATAAATGAAAAGTTACAAATGCTCAATTCTTCATTTGAAATAAAAAATAAATGATTTTTTAAACATCTTGCAGTTTTAATTCGGAATAGGCAAAAGTGACTGTTGGAAATGATCTGGAACTGGAAGTTTACCTAAGCAGGAGGATGTTTTAAATGAAATTTTTGGACTTAGCAAATTTTCTTTCCCATCCATGTTTTATAACAGGCTTCACAACTAACTTCTTGCTGTTACGTTTATGATTATTGTTAGCGCATTTTCAAATATTATAGAATCTTCATAATTTCTGGCTGTTTTATTGTTCTTGTATTGGTAATAATATGGTAAATGTATCTTGGTGTGTGACAGATGCAGGACAATAAACATGATGTGGTTGCTTTCATTTAGTAGATTTATGCTTTTGTATGGTGTAGAATTTGGTTAAGTGGAATTTCATGACAACCGCAATCGGGCTGTGTATATTCATGTCAGATTCATCAAGACCAACGTCACTTCTGTCGTTTTCCTTTATTATTCTAGGTTTTTATGTAGTATTAGGTTAAACATTGTGGGTAACACATCGATTGTAGTTACAGATCTGTGGACTATTTAAGAACGCATACTTGTAGATCTGTTAAGTATTTATGTGGTACTCTACGTTATCGCTGTTTTAGAAGTCATATTTCAGAGATGCTCTTGAACCTATGCATTTAAAAATTTTTAATCCTTGACGTAATAAAAGATCATAACTGAATATTCATGATGTTTCCAATTTCTTGTTCTCAACTTTAAAATAGAATTCTGAGGGGATGCACTATGTGGAATTCTTTCCACAAGAAAAGGAGTTCGAGTCGGGTTTTGTGAAGTTATAGACTGTCTCTTTCTGGATGATTTGTCTTCGAAGTTAACTTCTCTGAGAAACACTACTGGAGGTCTTGCAAATACTGCGCTGAAGTATCTACCATTGCTCCAGACTAGTGTTGCATCGTGCTTCATAGTTTCCTTTGGAAAGCTTTCGCCAAAAGTTGTGGGAATGAATCAAGTTCCGTTTTCTTCTCGAAATTATGATGAAAGCCTTCACATGAATTCCGACCCATTATAATAACAGACTGCTATTTCTATCTCAGAAAAATACCTTATGATTTATGAGGCTTTGTTGACCGGCACAATATTTGAACAACGCTGATGGAAATTCAAGAAAAAAATTTATACCCTACACTTAACAAATACACAACATGTTATAAACATAACAGTGAAAGTAACAAAGGAAAAAAAAAAAAAAAAACATAAAACTTCAAACGGAAGCAAGGCAACAAACAAAAAAAAAAAGAAAAGATCATATTCGCCGAACTATCTACATAATGGCCTCTGACGAAACCATTCCGCCACAAGGTGTCTGTATCAATTTGGCCGATGCTCTGCTTAGCCAGATCAAACAACTTCACAATCTACGGTTTAGTTTTTGAGATATACTGAGTTGCACAACGTAAGTCCCTATTATCAACATTAATGCAGAAAAAATTCGACCACCTACAGACAAAATATGAAAATTACAAGACATCATCACCATAATCCACGCTCCATTTCCGGAATCATCAACTCCCGCATTCGAGAAAATTCCCACTCTGTCATCCCGCTAAGCCTGAGTAGTAATATCCAAACTGGATCCTAAATACGGAGCCAGCCTATACCGTGAATGGTACCTGCCTACCAGCTCCGTGAGCAGTCACGGAAACAGTTTGACATCCAACAGCACTGCCCAACATGATGAATACAACTGAAATCCATCAAGTGGTGTTACAGCTGAACTCCATTAAGCACCATATCGCCAGGTCGGTCAAATCGCGACTAATTGCAAATAGCGCTGGTGCATCTTCCCGCCATCCTGTCGGCTCCACTAGTAACCTTTCCAACGTGACTACCTGAAAAGTGACCAGTTGCGGAAGGATACTGCATCAACAAAAAGATAAAACACTTCCTCGCTGAACAATTATATTGATAGAAAGTATTAGCACCTACAATACCTACAGCCAGAATCCCCATCCCCTCAGTCCTAGTCTTCCAAACCATCAATGTCCCCTGCAGAGGAACAACATCCCACCATACCCGGATAAGTAGCAGTGAATATCGCCGTAAGAATACTAATAGGGAGATAGCTAAGACCTGCTGCGGCAATAATAACACTAAATCGGATTTACAAAAGCAAGTAACCGAACGGGTGCTAAACGAACGCATTTCAGGAACTCTTGGGACTATCATAAGTTTGACAAGAATTGACGAAAGAAATACTGGCGAACAACAGCAAATCTGCGGATAAGCAATCACTCACCCTTTATCGGAGTAGTAACTAAATTTTAGTAAGTAAACGAAATTTTCCATATCACATGAGCAATTCCAATATCTTTTTATGCATTTCATCAAATAAATAAGTCAGAGAATCTATCAGATAAGAGCCTTTATTTATCGGTCAACTTTACCGGAATGTTACCGACCAACATTATCGGAATGAAAAACTAACAACCTGAAAGGTGGAAATTATAGGGCGTAAATGAAACAGTCGAAAATTTTTTTGAAAAATCACTTCAACTTCAATCTAATTACAGGAATAATATAGTTTTCCGTACTTTTTAAATTCATATTTAATTTCAGTTCGAACAAGAAATTTGTTTAAAAGGCATAATGTGAGTTATTTGCTTGTTTCAACTATGCAAAATCCTGTTTTTTCTATTAATTTTAGCATTAAATACGAACAGCAGAAATCTGAAACGTTTCGAACTTAAAATAACATGATTGAACATTGTTTTTATATTTTCCCGTTTATTTATGATTTAAATTGTTACAAATTACTCTTTTTTGCCAACAATTTATTTTTTAACTTTAAAATTGCCATTAAATAGACCCAGATATTTTTCGGAATTAAAAAAATGATTGAAAGAAATGTATATGTCATCATATGAACACATCAAAGAAGCAATTATACAAACTTCCATTTGTTCATTTTATATATATATATATATATAAGAAATGAAATGAAATATATTAAATGAAGTGAATTTTATCAATTGAGATATTCAAGAAGTCGAGGTTTGCATTCGTAATATAGCGCAATTCGGTCCAAACCATAACTTATATAATCAAATGAAATGGGCAATGATTCATCAGCCAAACAAAATGACCAAATGGACCAAAATAGATGAGATACGGCAGGAAAACGACGTGCTTCAATGAATAATTTTTGAATTTCTGCTTCACGGCTCAAAGATAAATTTTTAACTGGATAGAAATGATCACCATTTTGCTTTTGCTATAACAACTTAATATCAATATGACTCTTTTTAAAAAGAAAAAAACAAAAGAATTTCTTCAAAAAAAAAATCTTTCTTCTCTTAAAATTTTGGCATTATTTGTTTAGAAACAAAACAATCTTCAATTTTTCTTTTAAAAATAGTAGCATTAGTAAAAAAAAAGAAAACAGCGTCATAAATGGAAATGAATCATCATTGTTCCAATAAAAATTAAAAAAGTTTTTGAAATTTTTAATTTTAAGATTTAGCGAGAAAAAAGTTGCATGTAGCGTTTTTTTTTTTTAATTTGATTTTTGAATTCTCAATGCTAACAAAATGTTATATCAATGTAAACATTAACTATTTCAAACGCTTACCTTATCAATTTCATCCAGATATGAGTTGAACAGATAATAGAGCTGTTCATCGGATGGTGTTCGTTCCCGTCTAACCCAATAAAACGGTGATTTATCATTACCATAATCCAACATATACTCACAAATGTAGTTACCAAATTCAAATCCCCTAAAAATTGGATTTTTATTAATTTTCAGAATATGTTTGAAGTTAGAATATTAAAATGTTTAGAAATATATTTCCTCAAATATTTAACAAAGGAGATGGAAATCAAGAAAATTACCGGTAATTATAGCTGGCATATTCAAAATCGATTGGTGAAATCGGATCTTCATTTTCGCTAATATCAAAATCACCGTTCTCATTAATGGTATATTGATTATGTAGCAATATATTACCTTCCTGAAATTACCACGTGAATAATCAGTGTTACATTCATCGCTTGTTATCTGTGTAATTGTACTCTTTTTAGCATTATAATAATTATCGAACATTATGCATAAATCTTAGTAAACAAAATTAGTATTGTAACGTTTTACTTTGTAATTCCATTACAGCAATACATAATTTCGAACTTTAAAATCTATTAGAAAAAAATGCAGAGAACGATGTATTAAAATACAGCAATAAGCGCAATCACATCATGATATATAACATATTAGAAGTCAGTTGACAATTTTTCTCTTTTTTAATATATATTTTGTGAAATATTTGCAAAAAGAATAACCTGAAGGTCGTTGTGACAGAATACAATTGGACTTCCACTTTTTTCCAGACACAGTTGTATGATTTCTAATTCGTTTTTCAAAACTGCGTATGTCACAAGCTCGGGACACGAAAAATGGTTTTTTTTTTTTTTTTATTTACAGATAAATTAATTAATACCTTAGGCAAAATTGATACTTCTCCCAAAAATTGATATTTAAATAAATAAACACTCATAGATAATGAATATTTTACATGGTTATTTATTTTACTGATAAGGGCTAATTAATAATAACAGAATACCTTGATAATTGTTTTTCTTATGATGGACCTATCATTCTATGCAAAAAAGATGATAAGATTTATTGGCTTCTATGACTTCTAAATCCATAAAAAATTTGTTATTTTAGTTCTTTTATTGTTGCATTTTTGAAATTTAAATTACTTCTAAACAAGCGTATTAAATTTTGGATGAAATTAATGGAATAAAAAAAAGAAAACCGTTGTAATTTGTTGTAACATGAAAATACGATTTGATGATCAACTACATTTAGCATAGCATAATCTTGAATGATGACACGAATATGCACACTAAATGATTCACCTGATTAACACTAATTATAATTGAGTAATATGTTATTCAACAATTGAAAGGTATTACTTTTGAAAGATCCGCTTGCACCATTTTAAGCCTCATTTTATGGCGCATTTTGTTGCCTAACTTTTCTAGCCATCCATTAGCTACCTCAATAACCATTGGTTTTTTTGCAATAGGTACATTAAGTATATGAATACGAGCAAATACTTTTCCCAAATGTTTGGTGATGCTAAAATTTCATGAATATCATACCATAATAATGAGAAAAAAATAGTGTTTTAAATTCAAAGTTTAAAAAAAAATCGAAATCTTTGCCCTGGATATTGAAATTCATCGCAAAATAATGGTCGTGATGGAATATATTGTTCGAAACGACCTGATGGAAAAGCAGCAAAAAGTCGTGGTCCAAGCAATCTGAACTATTCCGAGTTTCGAAATTTATGCAATAATTTTGTTAAAATTTTCGAAATCATCAAATTTGAAATACATGTGCAAACATTACAACATATAATAAATTTCAAGCATTTCTTCATTACGATTTTTCGCATTTTTATTTTTTATCGTTTTCTTTTTTGGAATTTAAAAAAATTTATTAGTAAAAAAAGATGAAAACAAAGGCGAAAGTTTCAGGTTATTAAAGAACAAACTTATATTTCAAAGAAGCATTTTCTAATCAATAATTTAAAAAAGGAAAACCTTTCAGAAAGCATTGTAAAAACAACTGCTTCACTGAGAAGACGATCAAGATCATCGGAACAATGTATGCGCAAAAGTGAACAAACCGGTTCTCCTCCTTCTGGTACTACATTTTCTGGTAGTTCCACCAAGAATAATAAATTGCTTATCCCACCACTGAAATATAAAAATGAAAAAAAAAAGTAGCAAGTAACATATAGATTTATTTATATTAAATAATTTCAAGTAAAAACAATTCCTACCACTTAAGAATTTTGATATTTTTCATTTTCCTAACTTAATTTTGATTTATTAATTCGAAAAATTTTTGTACTTTTATAATTTGGCTAAGAAAAACTTTTTTTACTACTCAATTAATTGATGTTTACTTTTCAGGTATTCAAATAATATTTTCATACATACAAGTACAATAACAAGAGATACATTATTGCAAAAATTCTGTAATACTTTTTATCCAAAAACTGCAATGTCATTTTTTAAATATATCTGTTGTTAAATTCAAATTTTAAAAAATAAAAATAAATTGGAAATACTAACATAACTGGTTGCATACGTAACTGTTCTGGGCTAATTGTATTCCATGCACCACCGAGATAACGCGCACAAAGTTCTCGTGTACATACAATAACATCATATGGTATTTCCTTGTTTTTTGCATTGGACTGACCAAAAAGTTTCTTGAAAGTGAAAGTTTAAAATTAAAACTTTAACTTTTTCTAAAAAAAAATAAAATATGAAATAGGATTGGAAATAATATATAATGTAACAAAATTTCTTTTCCTTCTTCTTTTCCTTCAATTCAAAAAAATTTTTTATTTTTCATACTGGTAACATTTTTAGCATTATCATCAAACAATCTATTCTTATCACTAATATCAAATAATTTTTCTTATCTAGAAGAAATAAAACGATGAAATTGTTAAATTTCTTTTCATAGTTGCAAATACTTCAGCTAACTATCATAAATCTATAATTAATCTTTTTTCAAAGATTTTACCATTAAACGTTAAATTTTTTTACAGTTAAAATTTTATAAAATGAACAGAAAATGAAACAGCAGATTATAAATAGATAATTTAAAATTAGTATGAGAAAGTTCCAGAGTGATTAATTTTGCGTTTGTTTGGATCAAAAAATATTTAGATGAAAATCTTATATTATGTTTAAACCATTCTATTTTTTTTTAAAAAAAGGAAGGAATTAAAGTAAATGAAATACGTCAATAGAGTAAATGTGTTAATGATAATACAATAAAATAGCGTTGCTGCAAATCTCATCTTTAAACTATAGTATGAATTTTTAAAAGTCGTATCTTTCTTTCATTTTAGGATATCTTATAATTAATTTCTGCTACTGAAATTTTTGATATTTTTCCACATACAAAAAATAGTATTTTAAATTGCTATTCTTTATCATTGGTAAATAAAATGATAATAAAAAGTATAATTATAAAACATCAATTGCACCAAATCTACATTAGAATGCAAATAAATTAAATGAGATAATTAACTGAACAGTTGATAAACAGTCATCTAATTTGTAGTTAATTGACTAGCAGTTGAATTCAAAATATTTAAAGCAGAAAAAAAAATTCTTTTTGAGCCAACTTTTAATTCGCATGGTGTCGGAATTTTCGCAACTGACATTTGCAACGATTTTTGATTCTGGAACCTGAATCATAAGATATTAGAACATATAGATTTGATCGCAGCCGCATGATTTTTAGCCGATGATTTCAATTTTTTAAGCATTTCTATATTAGAATACATACCTTACAATCAATGAATGAATGATAATACATCATAGGTATCGGTGATAATTTTTGAAGTTTGATTCGAAAATGGTTATCATATTTTGTGTATTTGTGCTTTCCAAAATCTTAATTAAATCAAAGATGCCAACCAAGATGATAAAGATGATAAAATTTAATGATTTAAAACTTTTTCACTAGCCATTTCGGGGTTTTCTTACTAAATTAATTATATTAATTTGATAATGAATAAAATGAGCTTATTGTGGAAGAAAAAATTTTTGCAAAATCATATCTGGTATATTATTTTATCATAAAAAAACAAAAACAAATAATTGAAATAAAAATTGCAAAATTTTTCATGATGTAAATTGTTGTATGAGTAAATAATTGTATAGGTTTCCATCCCTTTTCACTCATTAAGTGAACAATAACTGAATTTTATTATCATTGTAAGTTGTCAAATTTAATAAATTATTTAATAACCTAAACAAGGACGAAAAAAACTTAATTTTAATGAGAATTTAATTGTTTTTTCTTCTTAATGTCTCTGAGATACGCAAAAACAGTTGGGTTAAGCAATTACTTAAAACGAATGACAACGTGCTCTTATCAGCATTATTTATTGTCGCAATCAGATATCAAAGTGTATGGCTTTCCTAAACTGATGATTATTAGTTTACAATGTTCCAAAAGCAAGGAAAAGATAGATGTTGGTATTTATATGTGTGTTTATTTGTGTGCGTGTCTGTCTGTATATGTGGGTGTGTGTGGGCGTGCGTGTGTACAGGTGGATGTGTGTGGGCGTGCGTGTGTAGGTGTGGGTGTGAGTGTGCGTGACAAGGTATTTACATCTTTCTTCAATTGTTGTTTACATAGATACATTTCAATCGAAAGTCATCAAATAGCAAAATAGCAATTATTGCGCAATATCATAAACTGGAAAATTCTGGCAAAATAGAAAAAGAACATATCAATTCATAGCCTTTGATTTATTACACCAGGAATAGTGATAATAATAGTAACGATAAAATAATAATAATAATAATAATAACAATAATAATAATAAATAATGATAATAATTTTTGGTTTAATACGTGTATTTGATGTTCCCTTAATAATATATATATATATTATCCAACATTATTTTCAATTGATTTAATTCTTCAGGATGTGGAATTTGATATGAAATACGAACATAAAGTTCGTTTATTTTCTCAAACAGTTTTCTTTTCTAAAAATTTTAACAGTCGAAACATTTCTACTATAATGCATTTATTAAAAAAAAAAAAAAAAAGATTTTCTCATTTAGCAATTTTGTTTTTGCATTTTATTTTGCATAATATAATGTAGAGTGCAAAAATATCTATTTGATAGGCACCCTACTATAATGCAAAATTAAGCATGCAATCAAAGTGCAATTAAATTATTTAAAAATTTGACCAAGAAAGAAAGAATGAAAGAAAGGGAGAAAGGAAAAAAGAAAAAAAAATTATTTCACTTTTTTTTTTGCTTAAATGTATTTTTTTCTTCCTTTTTTCTTTACTTTTTTTTGTGAGAATGTGACAATATAATGTTAAGGTGAATCTTTCCTTTACATAGCAAAAAGTATCTTTACATAGTACAATTTGCTTTCTTTACAAATATTGATGAATGATAAATAAATATATATATATGCATTTATATCAATGCAAACGATGAGTGATACAATGGAAATGTTTTTTGAAATGATCGTTTTGGAAAAGAGCGCATAAATATTTCTTTACAAAAATTAAAATTTTTTATTTCTCTCCGAAATATTGATTGATTAATATATGCATATCATATTCCATTGAAATCAATTAAATTTTTAGCAAACATTCCTTGCAAATTTTTTTATCAATAAAAATTTTCTTTTCATAAAAATTATTTATGCTTTTTCCAGGAGTAGTTCTTATACTAAAATATGAGAAAATTTAAAACAACAACAACAAAAATTCTACCAAAAAATCATATTTGAATATAATAAACACAAAAACGAGATTATTATAACATTTTTAATTCCAAAACCTATGGTTAAATTATTTGAAATAAGAAAGAATAGAAAACACTAAAATCATATACTGCTATTGCTGTTTACGTCTTAGACAAATGTTACACTTATGTTTTTATTTTTTTTGACGTATCAGAATTAGAAATGATAAATTACCAAAGCATTAAGAACAATTATGTTTAATTATTAATTACAACGATTAATCTTTTACCTCATCGCTTACTTTCTATTAAATTCTAAATGATAAAATAAACGTTGTTTGTTTATCAATTAAGAAGATCCACACGTATTACTTTGTTATTATACACTTATTGTATGTTATTTATTTTCATGTATGTTTGCTGTCGTTTATGATTAGCAACTTTTTTTAAAAAAAATTAAAAATTTAATATTAAAATTTTAATCTTAGAAATAATTAGAAAGTTTGGGTAATTGAAAAAAAAAAAAGAGTAAGATGAAATGTTTCACATATTACAATAAATTATTAAAATTATTTTAATATGTCACTCCTCCGTAACAATATGCGAATAACAAATTATTATTGCAAGGTAGAATTAATTTGAGTTAAATCCTTTCTGATATATTGGTTATTATTTGATGACAATAATTAACAAACAATTTGTAGCAATAATAATGATGATAATGGTAATAATAATAATAATAACAATAACAATAATAATAATAGGATATAAATTGTTTAGATAAATTATAAATTATTTATTTATAAAGTGTCATAAATTTTATAAATTGCTATAAATGAGCTATAATTTACTCAATTATATATATAATTACAATTGCAATTCATATGATAATTCAGCTAAAACACTATCACATCGGTTATTATAATTATTGTCATTCAATGACTTAATTCACGAAAATAAATGGATTGTTATCTTATCATTAAATACTATATCCAAGTGAGAGTAAACAAATATGCTTACATCGAAAATAACCCAGGTATGCCATTCTCTTCAAACTTTCAAGTGGTCGATTACTTACGCTACAACATCCACCCATTTTCTTTTTTTACTATTAAACGAAACAATTTTTTTTTCAAAATGACGAATCCTGAAGGTTACCAATTAACGGCATGTTAGTTAAATAAACTGATCGTTTTTTGTGTAATAAATTAATTATTCTAACTGGTTGGAGATAGCAATTAAAAATGTTGTACAATTTTCATTTGATTTTCTCTTTTCCCTTTTTCATTTTACCAATTAAATGAAGTAGAAATGTCAATTTATAACTTATTTTTCCATATAAATTATTTAAACAAACAAGAAATAAAGTAATGGTGAAAATTTTTCACAATTTTTTGATCTAAAAAAGAAGAAAAAAGCAAAAATTTCATGAAATATCATTACTGAAAGAATAAATTATATAAATACATATGTGAATGTAAAAATGCTCCTTTTAATAAAAATTTTTATTAAAATTAACATTTAACGTTTCTCATTTGACAAAAAAGCGCAATAATAATTGCAAAAATAGCAATCAAAGGGATGAAATTTGAAAATGTAATTTCCCATCAATCGATTAAATTAGGCACAGTATGTATGTTTAGCATTTCATTATATAAAAGAGAGCAACAATTATAACACCAGTAATAATAATAAGAAGAAGAAGAATGACAGTAGTAATAATTAAAAATCATAGTAATGATTACAATGATAGTGGCAGTAGTAATGATAATGATAATGATAATGATAATGATAATAATAATAATAATAATAATAATAATAATAATAATAATAATAATAATAATAATAATAATAATAATAATAATAATAATAATAATAATAATAATAATAATAATAATAATAACGTTATCAACAATAATTATTATTACAATTATAATAAATAAAAACAATAACATTAAGAAAATTGGAAGTGGAAATAAAAAAAAGTAAGGATGAAAAGGATGAAAAAAAAAGCGAAAGATGTTAAACATTCTTATTCATTTTTGCGCGAATAATAGTAAAGGAAGCAAGAACGATGCATTCAAAAAATGAAATTAAAAATTCATGAATTAATTAACTAATCCTCAGGAAATTTCTGGTTTAAAAAACTTTTTAAAATCACTACTTTTGATCGTTTTATAGCAATTTTACAAAGTTTCTAATACTTCAACGGAAAATAGAAATTAAAAAAACGAAAAAAGTGAAACAATTCAGGATGATGCAATAGATGTAATAGTCAGAAAGTTTGCCTTTGCAATGAAGAAAGAAGGGCAAAATTTGCCCATATAAATCCTTCTCCTTGTTTTTTATTTTCTTTGTTAAAAAAAAAATAAAAAATACAGATATATTAGGTTTGATTAAATTTTAATTACAATAAAATTCAACCAAACTGGAATTCACTTCTTCATTTTTCCCTTTTTTCTTTTCTCTTTATGTGTGATAATTTCTTGTCTTTTTTTTTATTCCTTTTTTACTTTAAATAAAAGTATGAAAGAACGACAAAAAAAAAAAAAACATTTTAATTGATTATGGCACTTTTGATAACAAAATAATGAAAGAAGGGTCAAAGATTTTCGCAGAAATCATTTCCAAAAGATAAAATACATATTCATTATTATCATTTTTTAACATTATCATTTTCTTATCATTTGACATTATTGTAACAGATCGGCAATATTACCAATAACAACAAAAAAGACATCAATACAGTGGAACTAAACAGCAATTGAATACCTTTTTTTTGTTGTTTTGTTTCATTTTGTTGGTTTTTTTTTTAACAAAAACAGTAACAATAGTAAAAACCAATAAACAATATTAAATTATATGCATTTATGCTATGTCTATGCATTTACAGTATCAATGAATAGATTATTGGTACATTTATTGGTTTAATAATAATTTGAA